GATAATAGGGAGCTTTAGATTTGACTACGAGTACGACTACGAGTACGAGATTTGATCGCGTGCGAGGAAATCACCGTAGCCGTTTTCGTTTCCATTCAAATGTTGCTTTTATAACAGTAAATCAACAACTAGAGAAAAAGTTTCTTAAACTACATCTCCTGCCGACTAAAATCCCCTACAAAACGTGTAAATAAATCATAACATTAAAAATAGGCCAGATATTTAGTACTAATATATTATTTGCGCCGGATAAACGCTATATAAATGCTACAAATTATTTTTGGAAACAAAAAAAAGCCAACTTTCTTTGTTTTTTTTTGAAAAGTCGTCGTGAGGACTACGAGATTTCTCCACAATTTCGTACTCAGATGGGCGACGGCTACGACTTTTTCGCGTCAGTACGGGATGGCGTAAGCATACAGCATGCGTTTAGCTTGACGAATCTCGTACTCGTAGTCGTACTCGTAGTCAAATCTAAAGCTCCCTAATATCACAGAATAGGAAGTTATACCAGAAGCGTAACTCGAGCAAATATTTGTCCGCGTTTTTACCAGCGATTCGTCATCAATCACGCCATCCTGGCTAGTACAACCGGCACTTTGTACTTACCAAATCCTGATAAAAACTTCCGGCTGTACTAGCCAGGATGGCGTGGCCTGACGTGAGCGAGTTAAAATTTTCGTGGACGTCAAACAATAAGGGAAACGACTAGAGTTACGCTTCTGGTATAACTTCCTATTCTGTGCTATGTCAATCGAACTAAGGTCACAGAAGTTAGGCACACCACTGCCAGTAACATGTATCTGCAGTCTTTGTTTTGGCCTACCTTTTGTGTGGTGTATTCATGCTTTGAAACGACAACCCTCTTGGGATCCAACATAAGAACATTCATTGATAACCATTTAGATGTCATCCATAAAGGATGATCATCAGGAATCAATGGTGTTGGTGGTTCAACCACTTGCCATCCTGCTTTGTGAAACATATCTATTTGACGGCAGGGACGGTCGGGGTTAGATAGGACAAGACCAGGTCCAATCACGTTGAATGTAGCATCGATATGCAGGGGATTAGAATCTTCAAAAGATACAGTATGCACTCTGTATCCCTTGGGTGCAAGGTGCCTTCTCATCCATTCAATTCCAAAGTAGTTAGTCACCTAGTTAGGAAAGACAGATTATGATTTTTTCTGTGCTGGTGTAATGTACTCAGGTGAATATGATGCTTGTGATGTTACTCTGAGTGTATATCCACACCGGGCAAGCTTGAAAAATATGCCTGGCCACGGTGGGAATCGAACCTACGACCTTTGAAATACTAGCCCAATGCTCTGCCAACTGAGCTACGCGGTAAGGTCGGTTCGAGTATGTGTTATTTCGGAACAGAATCTAGTTCCTTCGATATCAATGTAATCTAGTAATCATGATTTTTTCTGTTACTCTGAGTGTATATCCACACCAGGCAAGCTTGAAAAATAAGTAACACACTCAAAGTAACATTACAAGAATCAAAGACGGATTAGTTGGAAGAGGTGGTGGGGTGCAAATCACCCATCAGGGAAAGGTCGCTATTGAAAGGGAATCAACTACTTCAAAATTACAAGTAAAATTTCGACGTTTCGAGCGAAGGCTCTTCGTCGGGAAACTAGATGAAGGGTCTTCGCTGGCAGGGCGTAGCTAGGGGGGGTGTGTGTAACACTCCCTCATTCATCACGGACTCGGCAAATGTCTGCTTTCGTAGTCAGCGAAAATATTTGAGTGTCTCGGAATAAAAAGGCATTGTTATAGCAAAAACTTCGCTAAATTTACGAAAATTACGGAAAAAGTTAACAAATTACGATATGTCCGGAAAAATTTTCATATGTCCGGAAAAATTACGATATTTCCGGAAACATTTTTGTACGTCCGGAAAAATTTGCGACTCCGCGACTGAAATGTTGTCGGCAAATGCGATACTACAGTCCCCCCCTTCTTTATCCTCTTCGCTAAGGCGTCAAAGTTTCACTTGTATTTTTCAGGGCACAGACCGTTTGAATTTATAGTCCCCTCTGTCTTAAAGTAAAGTTGTATTGTTGACGATCACGTACGTTTTCATTGACGTTGCCATTGTCTTTGCCAAACTCACAAATTTTGAACGTTTTAGTGGGTATTTATCTCAACAAATGTTATCATTGCACAAATTGGTTATCACTGCATGCACACTAAAATTAAGCATGCCAGACTGTCAGTAAATCCAAAACAGAGCAGAGCTCTCAGGTCTTTAAGACCATCTCATAGTTACCTGACTTTTTTGCACAAATATATCTGTGCCACATCTCATAAAATCCGCGGCGTCAAAGCAAATATCATGTTCCGTGGTGACAAACTTGCCTTCTGCTACCAACTTCTGACGATCTTTTGCTGAATTTATTGGATAATCCTAGAATGTGGAATGTTTATAAAATTATAGACTGAAAACAAAATCCGGAAATTTTAAGCAATGATCAACTCTCGAAGCGGAAGTCTCTACCACTCTCATTACACGTGATCATTGAATACGTAGAATTTTGGACTCTTTGAAAAGGGTTTAAATACAAACATTCTATGAAATAACCTTATCATACAGCGCGTCATCCATCAACGGTTTAGGAGCGACAGTCCAAGTTGCTCCACCATGAAAATATTCTTTCATGAGATCTTGATAAGCTCTGTATTCAAAAAATCTTGATCTCCAACACATTGGTGCTTCGATAATTTCTTCTCCAACAACCAGCAGAACATCGCGAGGCATCGCCGCATACATTCCAGTCGATGTGAAATCAGGAGTTGAAAATTCCTAGAAATGAGATTGCTGTTGTCTTGATTCCATACTTGATTAGTTTCAAAATCTGAACTTGCGTGTGATTGGCTCTTTGTAAAAACATGTCAAACCGGTTTGGTAAATAAACGAGCACAATAGCCAATTATTATTATAACTAGGGTGAAAACCAAAAGTGATTGGCTGATTTGTGATTACGTGCTTTAGATTAATACACTGTAGTCTGTATCCGCATTTGGCTTCTTTTGAACAAAAGGTTGTTTGGCCTCTTTTGGTGTATTTTGGCTGCTTTTTCAATGTCATCTGGCTCCGAGCATGCGCAAGAACCTACCAACCCTGTAACTGAGGTAATCATTACCTTGCTATGATCCAATATTTTGGGCCGGCGTACAGTCACTCCTTCGTGTTCTAATATTTTGCAAAATTCGTCAATTTGCTTCACAGCTTTTGCAACATGCTCAACCGGGAATGGTTTCCCGCCATATTGTTGATAAAATGGCCAGTGTGTCTGACTAGTGTTGTTCTTCACTTCAATGGTGAAAGGCGGAACATGGGCATTTTCTGGTCGGCCAACAATCACCTCTTCCAAAGGATCCCATTCATTATAAGCACATACTGGACTTCTGCAACAGACAAAATATTGTACATTTCTGGTTTTCCTACAATACTACACGATTCATTGCTTTATTCTAACATTTTCATGTGAAGTTGTGGACAAAAACAAGACACATATACCATAGGGCATATACTCCCTCCTAATCTCGATATTTATTGGATGACACTACATCCGGCTGACAAAATAATCGGTGTTGATGCTATGATGCCAAATTATGCCAGATTTAATATGGAGAATGATGCTAGATTATGCTAATTGGAGGATAACTTTAGAATACCAGGGCACAAAAATTGAACTCAGTATATGAATGGCTACTGGCTGTTGATGCTGAAGGTTAGAGAGGGGGTGGGTCAGGGAACCGATCAATTGTAATTTTTTGATAGAGTTGTAGACTCGAGTCGTGTAACTTGGACTCGAGTCGGACTCGAGTCGCAATTTTTGTGACTTGTGACTTGACTTGTTAAAGAGACTGATGACTTGTGACTTGACTTGGACTAAATGACTTGTGACTTGACTTGGACTTGCAAGAAATTACTTGTTACCAACGCAAGTCAAACGTAAATATCTAGTGAAAATCAAGTTTTCCAAAATCTTTGTGTTGATCGATCGATCGTCGTGTTGTACAATTTGCGCAACGACCTTAGTACATATCAATGGCATCGACAGAATTTGTGCCGGCGTATTTTCGGACAAAGCGTTTTTTTTCGCGATTTCGTGGTAAAATTTCTGACATAAAATAACGACGCCATATTTACATATTTTGCCGTTTTCCGTGGGAAAACATGGCCACATGTGGCGATAAAATGACTTGTGACTTGACTTGGACTTGCAACATAGGACTCGTTAACAACTCTGTTTTTTGATTCTTTAACACTGTAGCACTGTCCAAGGCAATGCACACGACAAGACCGAACAAGGGTTAGCACAGGTTTACCATGGTTCAAGGCAATGTTGAAGGTTAGATAAGTGGTGGGTATAACCTCAGTTAAAACATTAAAATGCCGCTATTTTCAAATAAAAATTGGCGTTCTAAATTAATTTCGCTGTTGTCGCCATAGAGATTATAAATAACACTAGAGGAGGCATCGTAATCTCACTTCAGTCAAAAAAAGGGAACGCGACTATTGGGGGGCAAATTCAAGTCCCGGATGTGTATTCGTGTTCCCATTGGTGACGAGTTTCAAATCAGCCAATGAGAGCACGATTTTATATCCGGGACTTGAATTTTCCCCCCATTAGCTGCGTTCCCAATTTTTGAACTCGATGCCTCCTCTAGTGTTATTTATAATCTCTATGGTTGTTGTAGCCTCGTCAATAATCCGGCCGCCATATTGTTTTGATCAAAAACGGTATGGCGGATTACTGACGAAGGCTGCGACAACAGCGGAAATTAATTTAGAACGCCAATTTTTATTTGAAAATAGCAGCATTTTAATGTTTTAACTGAGGTTATATAGATTTTTAGTAACAATAAGAATTAGAGAGTTTAAAAGCTTCGCGTTATACATCAAACGGCAAACGGCGAAGAAAAATTCTACGGTATCAGGCAATAAAGAGTAAATGAACTTGCTGTTTCAAAACTGAAATACATAATTATTCTTTCGACGCAAGAAAGAAAATATGAAACGCAAACGTTCAACGAAAATTTTGCCAAGAAAGTTTGAACCTGCCGTTTGCCGTTCCCGGAAACGTGAATCTTTTACAAATAAAATAATGTTTTTTCTATGACTATATGAACATAACGCATTTTTTGTGCGAAATCTTATCCGTTGTGGTAGACATTTAAGGCTAGTTTCCACTCAGGAAAATTATCCGTGGATTGGAACGGACAAGAAAATTTTTCTTTGTGTTGAAGTCATTTGTTCCAACCCAGAGCTCACAAGACAAAGAAAAATTTTCTTGTCCGTTCCACGGATAATTTTCCTGAGTGGAAACTAGCCTTTAATGTGGAAGTATAGTCTGTGCTCTTTTTCGACTTACATTTTTCAACGACGATTATAACAGCACAGCCAATTATCTGCTCTATTAAACTCTTAAAGCCTAGTTTCCATTTGGTCGTTAGTTGTCGCTGGCACGACAAGCGGTAGATGTGAAATAGTCTAATATAATAATAGTCTTTCAGTTGTGTGATATGCAAATTAGTCTTAATGATTGCAGAGTTTTATAAAGTTTTGTTGATACTCTACTGATTACATCAGCCACTTAATTGTCGTGCCAGCGACAACTAGCTAACGACCAAAATGGAAACTAGGCTTTACTGACTTGGCTAAATAGTACATTCACTGTAACTGTAAGGCCGTCTGGCATTTTGGTGTTAAAAACTTGTGTTTAATTTGCAAACTTAACGTCTTAACATGCCTAACCTTTAGCTTTCGTTAGTATTGGATACTTCAAACACTTAACTAATATATAGCCATGGCAGTTAAGTGCACAAACGAATTTTAACTATAACCTATACAACTAGTATTTGTTGGATATGTGTAAAATGGTTTTATAATATAGCATTTGTAAATTATCAACGCTGATTGGCTAAGAGCCGTGTTGATATAACTCAATGTCAACACGGAAACGTCGGAAAATTTCTTTCTTTATGTTTCTTTGTGCTATATTATAAAACAAATATAAAACATTTATTCCGTATTGATATATAGTTACGGTCAGTATAATCTGCAGACTGCGGACTGCAGACCGGACTGGGTACAAAATGCAGACTGGGGGTATAAAATGCAGACTGAGGATAAAATGCAGACTGGGGGTGAATTAGGGATATTTTACAAATTCCCGCCAAGCCATAGTCGAAATGGACGAAGACATGTACAGCGATGTAGATTATTGTAGAGCAGTGGCGTAACTACTATGGGCTCAGACCGGGAAAACCCGGGGGCCCCAACCCCAATGGGGGCCCCCTGGCTTAGGCGATAAAGCAAAAACATTGGCCAGGGCCTCTCGTAGAAAACTTGTGCATATACGGCGCTTGACTTGTGCCTTTCGCACTTCTACCAGGGGGCCTTCGAAAATTTTGAACCGGGGGCCCCTTGCTTTAACGTTACGTCACTGTTGTAGAGGTATTGATATTATATGAATATTTATATTATTCTCATTCAACCGTAAAACTTGATCACTTTAACACATTCCTTTACGTTTAATATTTGAACGTTTGGTTACATTGCATTAGATCGGAACAATGAAATCTGGACGTTTTGAGTGTGAAATTGTAATGGTATATATATCGTACGTGTCGACTGTCAAGCACATGGTTTTGTATTAGCAATTTTTCATATTTTCAAGCGTTTCGCTCCTGTAATTCAAGTTCATATACATATATAGACCAATAGCAAGCTTGCGTTTGCCGAGTTTTGAAACATATATGAGTAGAGTGCTTGTCGACAGTCGACACGATATATAGTGACTATATACAATTAAAATTTCACACTCAAAACGTCCAGATTTCATTGTTCCGATCTAATGCAAAGTAACCAAACGTTCAAATATTAAACGCAAAGAAATGTGTTAAAGTTATCAAGTTTTACGGTTGAATGAGAATAATATAAATATTCATATAATATACCTCTACATCGCTGTGGCCCATTTTGATGAAAGTGACTAGCTTCAACATTAATATTATCAACAAGAACGATCACGTGACTATGGCTTGGCGGGAATTTGTAAAATATCCCTAATTCACCCCCAGTCTGCATTTTATCCTCAGTCTGCATTTTATACCCCCAGTCTGCATTTTGTACCCAGTCCGGTCTGCAGTCTGCAGTCCGCAGTCTGCAGATTATACTGACCGTATATAGTTATATCACACTCGTGGAATTCGGGCGTCGTGTTTCCACACAATTTCGAGTTTTCCCAATTTCCACTCGTGTTGATATAACTGTATATCAACACGGCAAATGTTTTACATTTGTTAAATTTAAAATCACTAAAATACATTAAAAATAGCACCAGAATTTAAACATTTTCCCGGGGGAATATACGGGGGCGAACAACAATAATCAACTGTATGCCCAAGTTTTGCAAATCTTTCAGAACATGGGTCATTTGATAAAATGAATAAAGAGTCCCAAGTTGTCCATTTGACTAACATTAGATACTTTTTCTAAGATAGTAATTAATCATGTCAATTAGCGTCAGTTTAATGTACAGTTAGAACTATCAATTCTAATTGTTTAAAATTTGTTATCAGTAGAGCTGTAAGAAATCCTGCACAGAACAAAACAGATTATATAAAATGCATATGTATGTTGTGGCATCATTGGCTTATTAAGGAATACGGCAATATATTTTTTTATTATTTCACCCGGAAGAACTTTTAAAATTATATGTAAATCTCTTTTACCGATTTTGCGTAACTTTATTATTTCTTGAGATATTTGAACAGAAAAAATCACAAATCAGCGAGCTTTCCGCCATCTTGGATTTCGGCGGATATGCATGTGACATCATAAGCAGGGTCACGCAAGAATTTTGTCCATAGATAGAGCAAGTCGTTATTATGAGTCCAAAATCATATACTTCAGTAACTATTTGAAATAAAAACCTGTCTGACGACTAATTTTCAAACAAGACTTAATGTTATTTGGTCATTTAGTTGTAGTTTTATATGGCTAACCCTGCTTATGACGTCACTTAGATAACCGATAATGAGATAAAAATTTATCCAAGATGGCGGACAGCAAATTATTTTAAGTCAAAATATTTCAAGAAATAATAAAGTTACGCAAAATCGGTAAAGGAGTTTAATATATAATTTTAAAAGTTCTTTAACGAATGAAATAATAAAAAAATATACTGCCGTATCCCTTTAATTAAATTAAGTTTAGTTTTATTTGATTTAATATGACAATTACGTTATATATGGGTGTGATTGCATGCTTGTCACTTGCTTCTAAACAATGCTTGTGAATTGTGACATTTGGTACCAGACTTTTATAGGTCTTTCGTCCCAGGCTCCATAGTGTTTTTCGTGGCGCGACCTCGTGGGCGTTGGCGCGACGAGGCTGCCTTTTATCTAATCTAACATCATGATGTTCACGAACAGAGTAAACTCTAAAAAACCTACGGTGCCAGTGGGCCAATAAGGTGTAAGAAACACAACAATCTAGCAATTTAAACAACGTCCTGTTGTCATTGGGCAAACCATCCCCAGGCTCCATAGTGGTTTTCGTGGCACAACTTCATGGACATTGGCGCAATCAACCCACTGAGTGGCGCAATCCAATGCGGTGCGTGTTTCACGGTCAGCACTAAAAGGTGGAACGTGGAACGCTGGAACGTGGAATGCTGGAACATGGAACTCTGGAACGTGGAATGCTATTTTTTACCTTTTCTTGTTATTTATCAATATTTTGAGTTGATTTGCTTGGTATAACTACGCGCTCGCATACAGCAATGAAGAAAACGTATTACAGCGTTTCTGAGTTTGCGAATATTTCCCAGTCAAGAAAAAACAACAGAATTATGCAATAATTATAATTTATAAAGAAACGGAAAAAAAGACGGGGTACAGTGGCGTAGGAAGATGTTTAAAGATAAGAGGGCTAAAATTCTGAGCTGGTTTTGTAGGGGCTCAACCCAGTGGCTCAACCTCGTTCCCAGGGCTTTCGTATGAGGACGAGGATGGGGCGTCGGGAAAGTTTGAAAAATGAAGTCTGGACATAGCATTTCTACACTTTCTGGTGGCAAATTTAATTTTTTCTAACTATGCTATGCGTAAAAATAAACTACAATGTTCATTAAGTGATTTAAGTCGCCTCTTTCGCGAGCGACTCGGTAGCAAAATCGACAAAATTTGGCAGAACACGGTAAAAAAAAATGGTATGTAGTAATGAAGAGAGGGGACATAGCCTTAATGAGAAGTCTGATTATATTTCCTGACCGCACAATTAAACCTCACAATTCCCTCTTACCCCTGCAGTGGCGTAGGAATCCCCCTATCATTTTGCAAACAGGGCTTAGCTGAATTAATAACAAATATACGCATAGCATAGTTAGAAAAAAATATTAAACATACTCTTGACGATATTTTTGCTGTTCGATTTCTTGAATTTGCCACCAGAAAGTGTAGAAATGCTATTTCCAAACTTCATTTTTCAAACTTTCCCGAACCCCCTACAAAATCAGCCCAGAATTTTAGCCCTCCTATCTTTAAACATCTTCCTAGGCCACTGTACCCCATCTGTCTTTCTTTATAATTATTGCGTAATTCTGTTGTTTTTTCTTGACTGGGAAATCTTCGCAAATCTCAGAAATGCTGCAATACGTTTTCTTCATTGCTGTCTATGCGAGCGCGTAGTTATACCAAGCAAATCAACTCAAAATATTGATAAATAACAAAAAAGGTAAAAAATAGCATTCCACGTCCCTGCGTTCCACGTTCCAGTGTTCCACGTTCCAGTGTTCCACGTTCCAGTGTTCCACGTTCCAGCATCCCACGTTCCAGCGTTCAGACTGTTCTGCCTTTTAGTGCTAACCGTGTTTCATGCGCGCACCCCCAATAAGTAAGCCCATGAACTAATTCAAAGCCGCCTAGGGACGAAACTGTTAAGGTGGTCATCTCTATATTAACTGACTTTTGACCATTTCCTCAAAAAAATTTTTTTTGTTATTTTGAGCCCCTTAACTATTGTACTTCAAGACTGCATAGTTTATTTTTAAAAAAAAACATTATACAAGGCGAAAAAAGCTTTCAAAGTTACCTTGTTTGAAAATTTACCCCATAGCAACGCCATAGCAACGCATTTAGGGACAAAATTCGCTCAAAATTTCATCCCAAAATCGCTTCAAACAAGTTCATTTATGTTTCTCCTTTTGGTGTATGGAATTTAGAGTCTTCTGACCTAGCTGCATTGTGATTGGTTGCTTTGGGGAGCCATGGCAACCCGTTTTCTTTGTCTGTCTTGTGATCGATCGCATTTGCATTATCTGTGAAATTGTCTACAAAAACCTTAGTTTTTTTAACATTCCAAGTCGAAAAGTTGCTGTTCTAGTTTCCCAAAGATTTCTTTTGTTATTTGGGTTGTAATTTGAAGTCATTAAATGGGAAATCTGCAGAACAGAAAGAGAAAACGGGTTAGAAAGACGCCTTCCAAAATGGCAAAAAAATTCAAACATGGCGACGAACCTCGTGACAAAGAAGCTGGGCCTTCCGGAGCGAAAATTGGTGCCCAGACAGCAAATTTTGGCGTTAATTCTGAAAATATAGACACTATAAGGGAAGGAACAGCATTTATGGATTTATCAATCTTATTTGGTGTCTTTGATAAAATTCTGAAATGTCCTGACTGTGGAGATGAAATGAAGTCACATGTTGACATGAGGAAAAAACATGGGTATGCTCATTCCATTCTTTGCAGTGTGTGGCATGCGATTGGAAGTATTGTTTTAATACCTCGGAGAAGCAAGGACAGTCCTATGAAATCAATGTCCGAGCAGTCTTGGCCTTTAGAGAAATCGGTAAAGGGCACAGTGCCATGACAACTTTCAGCAAAGTTCTCAACATGCCTGCTCCACCACGACGTGCCAACTTCACAAAGATCCAAAATAAAAAGCTTTTACCTGTAGTGAAGCAGTGTGCCAATGATAGCATGGTCAACAATGCTATGCATGTCAAGGAAATTATTGATAATGATGCTGGAGAATGTGGAATATCCATAGATGGCACATGGCAGAAGCGTGGTTATTCATCTCACAATGGTGTTGTTACGGCAATTTCCCTCGACACAAAGAAGTGCCTTGATGTTGAAGTCCTGTCCGACAAGTGCCAGCAGTGTCTCAAGTGGAGCAAAAAGCAGAATGATCCAAAGTATGAGGAATGGAAAGCCAATCACCAATGCAAGATCAACCATACGGGGAGTTCTGGCAGCATGGAGACAGCTGGTGCCTTAACGATATTTGAAAGATCATGCGCTACAAAGGGGCTGAAATACAAAGATATGCTTGGAGATGGTGATTCGTCCACTTATAGTGCTATTCTAGAAAGTAAACCCCATGGAGAGGACTGTATACCCAGCAAACTAGAATGTATTGGGCATGTCCAGAAGCGAGTCGGAAGCAGACTGCGGAGGCTAAAGAGTTCGAATAAAGGCAGAAAACTCTCAGATGGCAAAGGAATATCTGGCAAAGGTCGCCTAACTACTGGAAAGATGGATGTTCTCCAAAATTATTATGGCTTGGCAATAAGAGAAAACCTTGATAATGTTGAAGAAATGGCTAAGGCTGTAAAAGCGTCTCTTTTCCATGTTGCGTCAACAGAAGAGTACCCGCAGCATCATCTTTGCCTGAAAGGTGAGGACAGTTGGTGTGGCTATCAAAGAGATTCCAAAACATACAAACATAAAAATGGTATTCCAAAGCCCATTGTTGAGTTGGTTGAGCCTATATTTGATGATTTGGCTGACCCAGCTTTGTTAAAGAAATGCACCCATGGCTTGACCCAGAATCCAAATGAATGTTTGAACGGGATCATCTGGGACAGATGTCCAAAGACTACATATGTAGAGCAGGAAACTGTAGCTCTTGCCACCTACCTAGCAGTCCTAAAGTTTAATGATGGGGACATATCATATCTTAAAATTCTGGAAGACTTAGATATAACGCCTGGGTTCTTCACTTGTAAAGGTGCCAAAGACTGCGACAGAGCGAGGATCAAGCTGTCGGCCAGAAAGAGCTCAGACAAAGTCAAGTCAAGAAGGAAATCACTGAGACACTTCAGGAAAAAGTTTCTGGATAATGCTGAGGACAAGGAAGGGGTAACATATGAAGCAGGTAGCTTCTAAACCTTTATGTTGTGAGAAAAGCATGAACGAAAACTTTAGATTGGATTTTCTCATTTTCACAATTTGGCATGTGTAAGTGATCTTTGTGACACTGTAATATTGTAACTATTTACTGCAGGGAGTTGATATTTGGCATACTTACTAACTGTAACATCATCTATTGTGTGAAACTCTTCAATTTTCAATACTAATCATCCTTAATGAATTATAGGCGAATTTCCTTCATAATTACCGGATTAAGAGTTGCAATAATTGAAAAATTCCAAAATATGGCTCTAATTTTTTTTTAAAGATATTTCAAGAAAATTGAAGAGTTTCACATAATAGGTCTGGTTCTAAGCTTTTCAAAAATATATTATTTATTTTATTCTGATGACTGGTTCTTGAGATATAATGTTTACGATGCTAAGCAATTACCGGTTAATTAATGGCCGCCATATTGGATAATTAGTGTAATTAACGACTTTGTGAAAAAATTTTTGCATTGGTCATTTTCTGTCACCTGTCCCTTTCAGAAAATCATATTTTTGCATAAATCTACTTAAAAATGAAAAAAAAAGTTTCCAGAGGAGATGGCCACCTTAAAGGGGCCCTAACAGTCATTTTTTAGTCAAGGAAGTATTGTTTACATTTTTTGTTATTGTCGCTACTTGACATGCGCACCACAGCATGCATGCGTTTTCCAGTGTGCAGAAGTGTACAAGTCATGGGTACTTCATGTAAGATACAGCCATACAAATCTCTGTGGAGTCCCCTACTTAAGGTGGCTTTTCGACTAAAAAATGACTGTAGGGCCCCTTTAACTGAATTCCACAAACTATAATTAACAATCACTTCAACTAATATGTTTTCCAGATATCTACAGCTAGCCACTTCTGTTTTCAAATCCAATGAAGTGGGATTTAAATCGGCGACATCATTTGTTGTTACAAGATTGCTATGCAATGATATGGCCATTTGGGGTATGTACTTTACTTAACCCATGGAGCCGCAGTGCACCCCACTTATTATTTTTTTACTCATCAGTGGGTAGGTTCTGCATCTTAATGGGTTGAAAAAAATGCATCTTAATGGGTTGACATCAGAGTAGGTTGATTATGTAACAAGACAATTAAAACCAATACAAAGATTGCTTAATATGTTCTTAAATAATATAGAATTTGTAAATTCTGAATGCTGATTGGCTGAGAGCCGTGTTGTTTATGCTACATTTTTTCATATTGATACAAGGTTAGATAAACACTCGTGGAAATTGGGGAAACTTGTTTTCCACTCAATTTCCACTCATGTTGATATAACTGTATATCAACTGACAACACAGAAAATATTTTATATTTGTTAAATGTTATATATTACTTTATAGAGTTATTTAATTATTTAATTGCTGTGGTCTGTATATAAGTAAGAAAATGTATACAATTGCCACTACCTCATTGATAAAGTCCATTGATTTTAATAACAAAGCTTTATATCAAAACTAACGTAGGTAATAAATAGCAAATTAAGTAAAGTTAATCAGAGGTGTAACTTAACATTTGCCCACATGCCAGAGGCAAGTGAATATCATGACGGACGTTTTATCTCGCATGCCTGATTGTGCACATGTAACCACTCAGGGTCGACATGTTGTCCCCTTAATTAATTTATACCCACTACCTAGCTGGTACCCCATTATAATATAACAATTAAACAAGCACTTCCTTGTTCTTGTATTTATTGATGTATATATATATATATATATATATATATATATATATATATATATATATATATATATATATATATATATATATATATATATATATATATATATATATATATATATATATATATATATATATATATATATATATATATATACATATATATATATACATATATATATACATATATATATATACATATATATATATACATATATATATACATATACATATACATATACATATACATATACATATACATATACATTATATCGTGTTGATATAACTGTATATCAACACGGAAAATGTTTTATATTTGTTAAATGTATACCACTGGTAAGCATACTGTATGAAGTATACCAACTAGAAATTTCCATCTTGGAACGCCCTTTGCTGCCCGCGCTCCTTTGCCCAGCGGCTCCGCTCGTGTTCCATGTCTTTTTAATATTAATTTAATGTCTTCTAAATGTCTTCTATCTTTTTCTATCTCAATAAATCTCAATACTAATCGTAATCGTAGCCAAATAAAGCCTCTGCGGAGAAAGAGTAAATTTTGTAAAAATGAAAAATTCCTGAAATCGAATAACAGTATGAAGCTCAATTCGCGTTTATTAATATTTTAATTAGAATGAGTCAATTTTACCGAAAAATTGATTTCTAAATTTCAAACTGCCCTTTCTCAAATTAAAAAAAATTCCCGATAGATTGACTCTTTAAAATCAAAAGAAAAAATCCTAACTGCTTAAAATAATCCCGAGATGTCGGGATCCCGGATTTTGTCCAACTAAAAAGTAGCAAGTTTATTTTACTATAAGTTTATCTCTATACTAATTGTTAGGGCTTGTTAGTGGCGTGAATATGCCATTTCAAGGATATGTGGGAGTCCCTAAAAGATCCTCACATTAAAGAAATCCAACAGGTGATATTTCATCATTTACCCGAACACCAGCCTAGATGGATAAAAGGTCTAGCATATGTCATCTATACCTATTGTTTGGTAAGTATAGCACTTGATATAGTGCATATACTTTGTAGTACTTTGCCAGAGCCTAGAGTCTTAATTCATTTTTGTCTAGACAGCTATACAGAATGTCCTGTACTGCTGTAGCGAAATGAAATTTGCGTCATGATTTTTGTATACATGTCCTGTATTAACAGATTCATTATTCTGCTGGAATACGACCAGATTTGGAAATGGTGTTCAAGTACTTGAAGCAGACAAGTTTACACAAGCGCCATTATTAAAGAGACTGCAAATTGGACTGTACAGATTAATAAGGAACAATATGACAAAGGTGTTGTGTAATTAACTATCTTTGTTTGTTGGGCATTGCAACTGCAATTTCATATTTTCATGAAGGTGTAATATGCAATGGTAATTCCTGCAATAATTTGTCGTTATCTAATAGCGTATTAGGGCCGACTGTTCAAACTAGCTGGTTAGTTGAATCCTAACCTTTAAATATATTCATTTTCATATATAATTAGGTGCTGACGTTTATTAATCCAAACACTAGTGTGCGGATAAAGAAAGATGGCAAATTATTACCAGCCATAGGAGTAAAAATCACCATAATAGACGAAATTGAAGATGTTGAAAGATACGTAAGTACCAAATATGACGTTTCTCATGGAAAAAATCGATATGTGAGGCTTCCCCTACTCGCTATCTATTTAACAATTAGTTAGCGAATAGCGTAGCCAATCAGAATGCAGCATTTGCATTAGAACTCGTGTTCCAAATTTTGTAAGTTCAGATATGGCATTTGTTCGTTCAAGGCATAATATGTTCGCTACTTATGTTCGTACAAGTAGAAATAACTACATGTCAACCGTAAGTAGCTGTTTTTAAATATGCAGGAAGTAAGAGATTACGTTGGTGGTGACGAACTTGGTTATAAACAAGTTGCGTTACTGGCCGCAAGTGAAGACGTCACTCTAAGTGACTTCAAAAAGAAAACTGGCGAGAATCAGACGACGAGTGCGAAGGTTTTCAAGATTCGAAAATCCGTTTTGGATGAGGGGTTCTTGGATTGGTTGAACTATGGTAAGTTGAAAATGTAATCGTGAAATAGTGGTAGTCCTAATTAGCCTTTCTCATGATGACGAATATCAAGCATTTTTGGGTGGCATCTAATAAAACAATGTGAAAAGTAATTTCTGAAAATAAACTAACCATTTACAAAGCAATATAAAGTTGCTGTTTATATGTGGACTTATCTCAGACTTCAGCTGAAATGGCACCCAAAAATGGTGGCGTGACATTTAGATATAGGACATTGTTACATACGGCGATGTGAAGATACATATTTTATCTTCGAATGGTAAAAACAATATTTTACGAGGGCAATATATAGGCCCCTACTTGAAACGTAAATGGCAATGGAAAACGATATGAGTTCCACACACTGAACTAGTTAAAAACGTCGCTATTTTTGGTAAATTGTGAACAGAATGCGAATAGATCTTTCCGGTAATTACATCACAACTATATGGAAGTGAGGCGAGGATCCACGCAATAAGGCACTCACGCCCATTGCTCGCGCCTCACTTGGCCACTTTCATGTAGTTGTGACGTAATTACCGGAAAGGTCTATTGGCAAGGAATAGCCACGTGATCGATATCTTCACAAGTGAAGAAACGAAAAGTATCATACTGTGTGTATTTTCAGTATCTTACTGTCTGCTATATAGTAATAATCATCCCACGTATTAATAACGTGTTACTTAAATTAGCGTAATTGTATAATATATTATTTTGACTTATCTTTAAGCAACGGCAAAAACAGGAGAAAAACCAAATGAGTACAATCCAATAACAGATGAAATAAGGAGTGCGGAAGAACAAAATCCTCTTTCTTCCGTTGATGTATCAGAAAACATGTTGCATTTGGCAGGTCAAGGTAAAAATACATTGAAAGTTTAAGTATATCTATAAATGATCTCTAATGCACAAGGGTGTATACAAAACCCTCTTCGTGTGTGATAGGAGAAAATTTGCCAAAACCATGCAAATATATTTTAATCGTTTAAATTAATTTGTTTAAATCTTTGAGGCAATCGGATGTACGATATACTTTTTCATACTGTAAGTTAGCTAGATGGATATCCACTTCACTGAGTTTCTAAATAACCTCATTTCATGTCATATATAATATCTTTCAGAACATTTTGAATCTAAAATCGAAACGTCCGAAGAAATTGCACAGTGTGTCAATATCTGTAGTGTAAGTTATCTTTTTATCTATTCTTAATTACTTGTATAATGTACATAAAAATATTACTCGGCTGTGATTGGTTGATTTCAGTGCAGTTAGTCCCAAACAGCAGTGGCAGTGCAATTTTCTGTAACCACAGTGCAAAAATCTGTAACAAACTGATCTTGATTGGTGGAAAAAATTGTGATGATAAAACCAACAATATGATATATGATATAATGCGATATAACAAAGCCAGAAAAACTTTGCCAGTGGAAAGTTCGTGAAATTTGGCTGATACACATACACTCGTGAGTTTTTCAAAAACCTTAGATAGCACTCGTCATTTGGACTCGTGCTATTTTGAGGTCTTTGAAAAACTCACTATAGCTCGTGTAGGATCTAACCCGAAAAGTAGGGCTTAATCGCCTGCGAGCAGGCAGGCAGGACATCACGTGATAAAAACACATGTTGGTTTTATATTTTTTGATTGTTTGTTCGGATTACGAAGGGCAAAAGTCAGGTACATTTGCATGTTTTTGGTCCTGTTTTCTATGTATTTGTAAAGTAATTTGTTTCTTGTAGCGTAGTTTATAATGTATTTGTATTGTTTCTATAGAAACCACCTTTAAAGCGATGTTTTGTACGAAAATATATTGATATATGAATTTAATATGGATTCAATTTATATATACGTGGTGCGTTTCGGATAATTCCTTTCAAGAACAACAAAGTTTCTGACTTCTTCGTAAGTTATTGCTATTGTGTGATTATTTGTGTATATTTGTGGCTTAATGAAGCGTGAGTTTCTTCAAGTAAAGTTTGATTATTGTGAATAAATAGTCTTGCACCGTGATAAAAGGTGTATTTTTGGATCATATGGGGTCTAGAAGGGATAATGATGGACGGTTGAATATGGATGCAGTAAGAGACGAGAGAGAAGATGTTTCAACACAATATACTGCTGAATGGCTCAGCAATGTTCAAATGCCCCCAAAGGCCCACTCTGTTGTTCAAGATATTAATAAACCCCATTCGCCTAGAGTTTCTAGGTCTGCCCCTGCATTAAGTGTCAAGTCAAGGCAAAGTAATGCAGGCATCAGTAGAAGCAAGTTGCAGTTGCAGTTAAGGCAACTGAAAGAAAAACAACAATTAGATAGGGAAGCTCGGCATTTAGAACTAGAAATGCAAAGACAAGAATTAGAACTAGAAAGGAAACGACGATTCGCTGAGATTGCAGAAAGGAAGGAATTGCAAGAAATGGAAGCTAAGTTAGCACATGCTAAGCTCTTGGAACAATTCGAAGTAGATAGTGATGATCAGCTCTCCGATGATGGTAACAGAGAACTGAATATGACGAGTCATGACCATGAGGGAAATGGACCTTATGATGATGCGGAACGTCGAGATGCGGAACGTCGAGATACGGAGCGTCGAGATGCGGAACGTCGAGATACGGAGCGTCGAGATGCGGGACGTCAAGATGCGGAACAACGTGAAACGGAACGTCGAGATACGGAGCGTCGAGATGCGGAACGTCAAGATGCGGAACAACATGAAACGGAACGTCGAGATGCGGAACGTCGAGATGCGGAACGTCGAGATGCGGAACGTCGAGATACGGAGCGTCGAGATGCGGAACGTCAAGATGCGGAACAACGTGAAACGGAACGTCGAGATGCGGAACGTCGAGATGCGGAAAGTCGTGAAACGGAACGTCGAGATGCGGAACGTCGAGATGCGGAACGTCGAGATGCGGAAAGACGAGAAGCGGAGCGACGGGAGACCGAAAGTAGAGAATTATATCGAAGAGACGAACTCTTTAGTCATGCAAGATATAATGCTGAACAGTTTCGAATGCCATATGGAACATACAATACCACGTTTATGAATCCCCAAGTGCCCACAACACAAATGTACCAGCGAGGTTATACAACGGATCAACAAACCCAATTAGTTCACCCTAACTTTGTTCCAACGATGTATCAGGATGCAGTTCAAAGTTCGTGTCCACAGTACGGGAATGTCTATTCCCATAATCGTCAGTTTCAACATCCAACATCCGATAGTCAACAGATGTTCGAACAACAACAACAAGCTTTGAGATTGATGGCAACTACAATTGGGTCGACGATAAGTAAAGGTTTTGTGATGCCTAAACGCGAATATATGTCTTTCGATGGGAATCCATTAGACTACCCTAGCTTTATAACAAATTTCAAGACTAATGTGGAAGACGTCGAAAGCGATCCCAACGTTAGACGCACTTATTTGATCCAACTCTGTACGGGAAAGGCAAAGGAAGCCATCAGTGGATCTGTGATGTTACCGGCGGAAGAGGGGTACAAAAAGGCAAAGTCTATTTTGCATGAAATGTTTGGGCAGGCTCATATTGTGGCTGCTTCTCACATTGATCGAGTGACGAAAGGTTCTATAATTAGAGAAAATGAGAGTGAAAAGCTTATGCAGTTAGCCCGAGACATGGAAAACTGTGGAATGAATTTGAACAAATTGGGCTACCAATCAGATATAAACTCAAGACACAACATCAGCGCGATTGTTTTACGGCTGCCAAAATACCTCCGTTCAGATTGGGCCAAAGAGGCGAATAAGCTTAGAGATCAAAGAAGTGAACCAGATTTTGCAGCACTCACAAAGTTTGTAGTAAACAAAGCTAAGTTGGCAAATACTGAGTATGGTCGGCTTGTTAATGTTAAAATGGACTGGGAAAGGAACAACACCAAGTCTTATGGTAAACAACAGAGGACCGTCTCAGCTTATCAAGTGTCGAATATTTCGTCAAACGAAGAACAAGATGGTAAACGAAACATAACAATGAAGTTAAAATGCATTTTCTGTAGTAAGGAAGGCCATTCGCTAGGTAGATGTTATATGTTCCAAGAAAAATCGTGCGCTGAAAGAAAGAAATTTGTCTCGGAAAAGGGATTGTGCAATCTCTGTCTGGCAAAGGGACATTTTGCTAGCAAGTGCCAGAAAGGCCGTAAGTGTTTTATTGCGGGATGCGGTAGACGACATCATCCCTTGCTTCATTCAACTGAATCTAACCAAAACAAACGAGAAGAAGATTCCACGAAAGTTTATAAAGATAAAGATCAAGAATCACCGGCCAAGCCCAAAGGTCTAAATGCACAAAATGGTCACTGTGGTACAGCTGACAGCAAAACGGCAAGTATGTTTGAGAGTTATTCCCGTGAAAGTGTCTAGCAGAGACAATTCGCGAGAAAAAATCACCTATGCCATACGGGACGAAGGTTCCAACACAACATTGGTTAAAGAGAGTTTGGTGAATGAGCTCGGATTGGAAGGTCAACCTCTTGATTTTAAACTAACGACCATGAACAAGGTTTCTCAAGAGTCTGGGAAGTCGCATTTTCTCTATGTGCAAGGTCTTGGCCAAAACGATTGCTTAGAAATTCCTAATGCCCTATCAATTAAGGATTTATCTGTGGCGAGAAGTTGCATTCCAACCAAAGGAGATATTAGCAAATGGAGTCATCTGAATGACGTACATATTCCCGAATTGAAAAATCCAGAGGTGACTCTTCTTATTGGCACTGACGTACCAGAAGCTCATTGGAAGATGGAAGAACGACGCGGACGTAAAAAGGAGCCTTATGCTATACGAACACCGCTTGGGTGGTCAGTTGCAGGTCCCATGGGAACAACGTCAGAAAGTGAATTCAGTGCGTTCTTTGTTCGTGAAGAGGATGAATTCCTCGGCCGAACGGCAGAGAAGATGTTTGAGATGGATTTCAGTGAAAGTACGTATGGGCAGAGCCTCGGCATGTCTTTAGAAGACAAGAAAGCACTGTCAATAATGGAAGAGTCTCTCAAAGTTGTGGATAGTCATTATCAGCTCGATTTACCCTTTCGTGATAAGCTGGGCTTTCCCAACAACAGAGGTTTAGCCGAAAGAAGATTACATTCGCTTAAGGCACGTTTAAAGAAAGATGCAGATCTTCACGAGAAATATAAGAAGGGAATCAACAACAACGTCGACAAGGGCTATGCTTCCAAGATCCACGAAAGTGAAGGTAATGATATTCAGGCGGAAGAAAGAAATGTTTGGTACCTCCCCCATCATCCGGTCCTTCATCCCCAGAAACCGCAGAAACCAAGGATTGTGTTTGACTGTGCCGCTAAATATGAAGATATGTCACTGAATGACCGGCTACTACAAGGTCCGGACCTGACAAACAAACTCATCGGAGTTCTGTCTAGATTTCGTCAAGATCCAACTGCTTTTACAGCGGACATAGAGGCGATGTTTTGCCAGGTTAAGGTGTCCCCGATACACCGTGATTTCTCAAGTTCCTGTGGTGGAAAGATGGAGATTACAACCAACCGGTGGAAGTGTACCGTATGTCAGTTCACCCATTCGGAGCGACATCTTCGCCAAGCTGTGCTGGGTTTTGTTTGCGTAAGACAGCCGATGAATTTGAAAGCGAATTTGATCCAGAGACGATCGAAACAATACGTCGAAACTTCTATGTTGACGATTGCCTTAAGTCGGTTTCAGATACACAGAAGGCAATTCGTTTGATTCAGCAGCTCCGTGATATTCTGATGAGACGTTCTTTCCGGTTAACGAAGTTTGTGAGGAACGACGTAGCGGTTTTGGCGTCAGTACCCGAAAGCGAACGTGCCGAGTCTGTTGTCAACCTCGACCTCGACGAACTCCCAGTCGAAAGAGCTATTGGGGTACAATGGAATGTACAGGAAGATGTCTTCAGTTTTCGTATCGTCAGCAGGAAGAAGGCTCCGACCCGTAGAGGAATCCTGTCAGATGTCAGCTCGATGTATGACCCCCTGGGGTTTAAATCGCCTTTCATTCTACCCGCCAAACGCTTGTTGCAACGTTTGTGTAAAGACAAAGTAGGATGGGACGAAGAGATATCCCCGAATATGTTGAAGACGTGGGAACGTTGGCTAGCTGACTTGCCTCATTTGCAACGAATATCGGTTCCAAGATATTTCAAATCTCACCAGTTGGACGAAGTCAAGAATACACAATTGCATAATTTCTCAGACGCATCTACGGAAGGATATGGTGCCGTGTTCTACCTTCGTTTCGTTGATGTGAATGACAAGATCCATTGCTCATTGGTGATGGGAAAATCCAGAGTAGCCCCAATGAAGCCGACGACAATACCAAGATTGGAGTTAACTGCAGCGACAGTAGCCGTGAAGCAACATTGTCAAATTCGAGAAGAGCTCGACTTGCAAATCGATGCAACTATATTTTGGACAGATTCTACCTGTGTTCTACAGTACATAAACAACGAATCTGGTCGGTTCAAGACTTTCGACGCCAGCCGAATAGCCGCCATCCACGACAATTCAAGCCCATCGCAGTGGAGATATGTGAACACTGAAGTAAATCCTGCAGATTATGCTTCCAGAGGTTTCAGCGTCCCACCAACCAACACGAGATAGAACAGTGGATCAACGGACCGAATTTCCTCCGTAAGACCGAAGATACGTGGCCGAATCGTCCCGAAGGAATAAATGTCCTACCTGATGACAAACTCGAATGGAAACGAGAGGTGGAAATCTACGAAACACAAACGGAAGAAATCAAGCCCCTCGACACCTTTATTCAACATTACTCTTGCTGGTATCGCCTTCAAAAGGGAATCGCGTGGCTAAATCGTTTCATCAAGTATCTTCGTGTTCCTAATTCCAACAGTGTTTCTTATAAGAATGACGGAACGCAAGCGGACATAAGTACTCGTTCCCGTGACGAAGTCACTGGGGCCGGCGTAGGGCCTTTGACAGTCGATGATTTACAAAATGCAAGGAAACAACTTATTCGTTACGTACAACAGGAAGCCTTTCCCGATGAAATTACCCGTCTTAAACGCAGATCGAGCGCTCAATCTACCTCGAAAATTGTCGTGAAGAAATCCAGCAAATTGGCAGCATTATCACCTTTCCTCGCAGACGACGGTCTATTAAGAGTTGGAGGCCGATTGGATAGAGCATCAATAAGTTTTGACGCCAAGCATCCCGCGATCATTCCAAGCAAGCACCACATTGTAGAACTGTTGATACGGCACTATCATGAGCAAGAAGGACACTCGGGCGTTCGTACTGTTTTATCGGCTATTCAGCGTGAAATTTGGATTCTCCAAGGGCGTTCCAGGATTCGATGGATCATTGGCAAATGTGTTCAATGCCGCAAGAAATACGCGTCGCCCTGTGAACAGATAATGGCGCCTTTACCAGCAGCTCGTGTAACTGTTCCAGATTATCCATTTGCGTCAACGGGAGTCGATTACTTTGGTCCTTTGATGGTGAAGAGAGGTCGAAGTCAAGTCAAGAGATACGGATGCATCTTCACTTGTTTGGCCATGCGGGCAGCTCACATAGATCGAAGTCGCACATTCTCTCGATGCAGAATCGTTTCTCTGTGCATTCAGTCGCTTCACAGCCCGTCGAGGGGTTCCGAAGGAAATCTTTAGTGACAATGGAACCAATTTCATTGGAGCGTCAAGAATCTTGAAGGAAGAGTTCAAGAATATTCAGTCAGTGGAGTCTCAAGCCAAGATCAACGATCGTTTACGAATGAAAGAAATCACGTGGCATTTCAACCCTCCCTTGGCAAGTCACACTGGTGGAGTGTGGGAGCGCATGATTCGATCAATCCGAAGAATATTAACTGCACTGACAAGCGAGCAGGTTATTGATGACGAAGCACTTCTCACGTTCTTAGTCGAAGTGGAGAGAATTCTCAGCGATCGCCCCCTGAATCGTAACCAAGGTCAAGTATGTGATTTGGACCCACTAACTCCAAGCAAGTTGCTTCTCTTGAGATCGAACTCGTGTCTTCCTACAGGCGTGTTCGTTGGTGAAGATCGTTATAGCAAGCGATGGCGACAAGCTCAACTTCTAGCTAACACATTTTGGAAACGATGGTTGGGTGAATACCTACCTAGTCTGCAGCAGCGCCAGAAGTGGCTGAAACCCAGAAGGAACTTAAAGGTCAAAGATTTGGTGTTAATGGTGGATAAGAGATGTTCACGAGGACAGTGGCCTATGGCAGTGGTCGAGGAAGTTTTTGCAGATAAGGACGGAATGGTGCGTCAAGTTATGATTAGATCGAATGGCGGGAAATTTAAGAGACATGTCCGTGAACTGTGCCTAGTCGAAGAAGCGAAAGAAGTCGATGAATAGTCGCAAGGTCTGGTATATACAAACGTTTATATATTTGTTGTTGTTAAACGAAGCCAATCGAACTCGTACTTTGTTCCAGTTACTGGGCGTAGATCCTTGTGTTTTGGTATATCGACTATGTTTATACTCCATAGGGGCCGGTTTGTAGGATCTAACCCGAAAAGTAGGGCCTAATCGCCTGCGAGCAGGCAGGACATCACGTGATAAAAACACATGTTGGTTTTATATTTTTTGATCGTTTGTTCGGATTACGAAGGGCAAAAGTCAGATACATTTGCATGTTTTTGGTCCTGTTTTCTATGTATTTGTAACGTAATTTGTTTCTTGTAGCGTAGTTTAAAATGTATTTGTATTGTTTCTATAGAAACCACCTTTAAAGCGATGTTTTGTACGAAAATATATTGATATATGAATTTAATATGGATTGAATTGCATACCTAAATCACACAGTGTCAGAACTTACCACTGACAATGGGAATATAAAAATAATTCTTGACATCAAACAGAATGAATGCGTAAAAGCGTCGGGAAAACCTAGTACTCCAAAGGAAAATGAAAAGAAATTGCCCAGCACCAAAACATTAAACAGTTTTGAAGTCCTAGTTGATGAAAATGATGAAAATATATCATCGTCTGAATTAGCTTCAACCGAGAAATCGAAGGATAACATCAACAGCCAAATCTTGGACTACCGATCAACGAATAACTCAAAATTCCAAAATCTGAAAACGAATCAGAAGAGCCAAGCACATGGTCATATTAATAAAAAGAAGAACCAAGTCCTTTCTCAGAAGTCTGTTGCAGGAAAACAGAAAGAATATAGGAAGAAAGTTTTGGTGATTGGCGACTCAATGGTGAAACACATTGATCAGAAGAAGATTGAACGGGCTGCAGGTTGTGACTCAGTCGTTCACTCTTACAGTGGTGCAAGAGTGGAGCATATTGACGCGAAGTTTAAGGAATATTGGTCAGAAGATAAGCAACACGAGGCTGTTATTCTTCATGTGGGCACCAATAACCTTGGCTCTGAAGATCCAGAAGCAGTTGCTGCCAAGATGGATGGGCTTGTTGCCAACCTTAAAGATCATTCCAAAAAGATTGCCATATCCAGTGTCATAAAAAGGTATGATAACCGAGTGCCAGCTAGCAAGATTACCCACTTTAATAATTTAGTCAGCGAATTATGTGTGAAACATAATATAGCATTTTTAAATAATGACCATATAGACAGGTCATTCCTAAATCGCTCAAATTTGCACTTGAACCAGTCAGGTGATAGGGTGCTTGGAAGTGCTTTCTGTGCATATTTAAAATCAATTAGAGTTAAAACTGCTGGTAATATACCAAAAACAGTAGGTAATAATAGGCAGTTTTTTTGCCAAACTCACAGACATTGGAACAGAGAATGGATGATGTATCTCCAACATGTCAATCAAATAATGAATCATTAAGTAATAATAGTTCCTCAAACAATGTGAGTAGCGATTTTTTCACTAGCCTTAACTCCATTCCAAATGAAAGAGGTTTTAAAATGGCTTTTCTTAACATTGTTAGTCTGCTCCCAAAAATTGATGAAATAAGGTATTCAATGTCAAACAAACACGTTGACCTTATTGCTTTCAATGAGACACGCCTCAATTCAAGTGTTAATGATGGCTTGATTCGAATTAATGATTATGATGTTGTGAGAAAAGACAGATCAAGAAATGGGGGTGGAGTTTGTATATACTTGCGTAGCTCCATCAACTATAAAGTAAGACATGATCTTGTTCCATCTGAACTAGAGGCTGTTTGTGTGGAAATTATAAAGCCACATAGTAGACCATTTCTAGTTATAACAGTTTATAGACCACCCAGTTCATCATCTGAATTCTTTGATCATCTTGAAAAATTAATCAAAGCTATTGATGATGAAAACAAGGAAATGTATTTTCTGGGTGATCTAAACTGTGATATGCTAAAACCAGATAAGGATTCAAATCCTCCAACAAAAAAATTAAAGTCATTATACGAGTTATATCAACTATCACAATTAATTGATGAAGCTACCCGGGTAACTATGACAACCTCTAGTCTAATTGATCACATAGTTACAAATACACCAGAAAAAATTTTTGATTCGGGTGTCATCCATACTGGATTAAGTGACCATAGTTTAGTATTTGCCCTAAGGAAAATTTACTTTTTCAAAAAACAAGAAAACAAAGTTGAGATTAGAAATATGAAAAAATTTGACAATCAAAAATTTGTTGAAGATTTAAGCCGACAGCCCTGGGAGAATGTTTATTTTTTTGCAGAAGATCCAAATGATATGTGGAAAATTTGGAAGAAATTATTCTTAAATGTCTTAGATAAACATGCACCAATTCAACAGAAAAAGATTAGAACAAAAAAAGTTCCTTGGATAACAAGTGTCATAAAGAATCTTATGAACACAAGGGACAGATTAAAAAGAAAAGCCATTATCACAAACCTAGAGATAGACTGGTTAAATTATAAAACAGCAAGAAACAAAGTTAATATTCAGCTAAAAAATGCCAAAAAAGATTACTACTCCACTAAGATTGCTGGTCAAAAACACAACCCCAAAGAGGCGTGGAAAACTATAAACAATATATTAGGTAGGCAAAGCAAACCAACAGTTGTAAACGAGTTAAAAGTAGGTGAAAATATCTTGACTAATACCCAAGATATTGCTGAGGGGTTTAACGATTACTTTTCAAATATTGGCCCTGATCTTGCTAGCAAAATTGATTCTACAAATTTCAACTATGAAACATATGTTGAGAATGCTAAATCAGAATTCGCTGCGTTCCAGCCAGTCACTGTCCAGAATGTCTACCAACTCTTACATTGTCTTTCTAGCAATAAAGCTACTGGAGTTGATAAGATTTCATGCAAAATTATTAAAATAGCTGCACCTGTCATTTCAGATTCCCTAACATACATATTCAATCAAGCTATTACTCTATCCATTTTCCCTGATGAATGGAAAACAGCTAGAGTAATACCTCTTTATAAGAATGGCCAACGAAACATGCCAGGAAATTACAGGCCAATTTCAGTTTTGCCAACCATTAGTAAAATTATGGAACGAATTCTATATGATCAACTATATGATTATTTCACTAAATTTGGGCATCTAAGTGATTGTCAATTTGGTTTTCGAAAATTTCACTCTACAACTACAGCATTACTGGACTGTACAAACGAGTGGTATATGAATCTAGACAGGAAAAAATTTAATCTGGTAATCTTAATTGACCTAAAGAAAGCATTTGATACTGTTGACCATCAAATTTTATTGAAAAAACTAGAGTTATATGGAGTAAAAGGGCAAGCCCTATCTTTTGTCCAATCGTATATCTCCAATAGAAAGCAGAAATGCCAAATTCAAAACTCTCTCTCATCAGAGAAACTGATCAAATGTGGAGTACCACAAGGCTCTATTTTAGGGCCACTATTTTTCCTACTATATATTAATGATTTGCCTCAATGTCTATATAAAACAAAACCTCGGCTGTTTGCTGACGATACGAACCTGACAGCTTCTGGAGACTCTATTACTGATCTTGAGGCTGCAGTGAATTCTGATTTAGAAAATCTTAGAAAATGGCTAATTGCCAATAAACTTAGCCTAAATGTAGCTAAGACAGAGTTTATGTTAATTGGCTCTAAACAAATGATTAGAAGTATTTCAGATCTACAACTAAACGTTAAAATTGAAAACGAATCAGTTAAGCAAGTTCATGAATCCATAACCCTTGGGGTGACAATTGACCAGCATTTATCTTGGAAAAGTAACACTGAGAATATTTGCAAGAAAATAACATCCGGTATATCTGCTCTTAGACGACTGAAAGAATTTGCTGATAAGCAAGCCCTTCTTTCTGTGTATAATGCTATTGTTCGCCCATACTTCGATTACTGCTGTGAAGTATGGGATGTGTTTGGTGAGACACAATCAAAAAGACTCCAAAAACTCCAAAATAGAGCTGCTCGAATCATTATGAATATGAGCAATGACACAGATCATTCTGTTGCTCTGCAAGCATTGGGTTGGAAGACACTTAAAACAGAAAGAAAGAAAGGGGAAAGCAAAAATAATGTACAAATTATTAAATAAAATGGGTCCCAAGTCACTCTCTAATCTTTTCACATATAAAGGTGAGAAAACAAAGTATCACCTCCGAGATATTTCAAGTGGTCTTTGTCTACCACAACCGCGTACTAATAATATGAAAAAAAGTTTCATGTATGACGGAGCACACCTATGGAATTCAATTCCAAAAGAAATTAGAGAGAGCAAATCCCTTTCTGCCTTTCGGAAAAAAATCGTTACTCACATTGACTGATTGATTAATGATTTGTAAATATATCTAAATTACTTTAACTTATTTAATACTATATATCTTATATAATTTTGTAAATAGCTTTTTAGTGTATCTGTATAGTTTGCACACGCCCCCCGTGGAAATCAGCTTCGGTTGACGGGGTCAGCGTGTTTAAATAAAGTTTTTCTATCTATCTATCTATCTATCTATTCAATTTTATACGTGGTGCGTTTCGGATAATCCCTTTCAAGAACAACACTTAATAAAAGGCCCTGAACCAAATGTTATACCTCATAGCAATATGTATTATTAAGAGCAATGCATGAAGCTAGAAAACTCAACGTTAACTATAATTAAAGAATCTAAATAGTATAAACTATTCAAAAAAAATGCTACGAAAGAAAGTGTGGCAAAAACATTTTACATGGTGATGGGATAAAAACAAATATCTTGCACATAACGATCCCAGAAAAAAAATTCCCTGCCAGCAGTAAATCACCCACCCCCTCCCTCAAAAGTTAAATGGTCGGCCCCTAATAGACACTTCTCCATTTTGCTGACCGGCAATGAAACCTCTTATGTACAATATAGATTATATCGGTACAGCTTTCAGGACTATTTAAGTTATTGTCTCGTGTGTCTATTGATTGTTTTCGTTATGACATACTTCAAAATTTTCACGAAGTGCTTCCTAAAATTGGAAGCCACCTCGATCTGAACTGGAGAAAATTAAGGAGAGATTAATTGCATGGACACACGGTGACAGGGGTACAGAAAAGGGTTGAGGCCCCTTGCTTTGGGCTCAGAACTGAGTCCCCCTTGTTACATGTCGATTTGGGCTGCATGAGGCCCCAATATTTTCGCAGATTGCGTTCTAATCATTTTTTTGCTCCAACATGAAATAGGTTCACTATACCGGAATTATAATTGAAAAATTCCTAGAACCAAAAATAAATACTGGAAATTTCCATGATTATATTATATTGCACCCTGCACATTATAGAAATAATAGTTATCTATTATTTCCATGTGCCACCTCCACGCCCTGCTACTGACCCCACCCTCTACATGTTAAATTACCTGAAAAATATAACCAGAACTCAGACGTTTCGAGCAAAGGCCTTTCGACTGGGAGCAGTTATAGTTGCCTGGATCAAAACTTCGTGTGAAATGTCAAAGTTCTTATTGTATTTCAGGTAGTTTGATCTTGTAACCACATATGTATATTGTTCTGATTCTTCATCGCTAACTACCCTGGAACCCAGTGGTGAAGCTTTAGCAACCGCTCATGCTATGCTAATAAACCTGCATCTATATAGGTTTAAAAAGTCAATTATAAAGTTTGAATGATGCAACATTAAAAATTTACATAGCATAACCTGCTGCTATGGCCAGCTTCGCCATTGCTGGAACCCCGACATTCAATAATTTTCTTTTCAAGTATCAGTAATTGTGTCACGGTAGAAAACGTTTACACCTGGCCATGGATTATCTTTTATGCAGATTATCTCTCGCTCAGTTTTAATTTCATCGACCTATGTATGGCCGCCTGCGCGCGGAAAAGGGCGGAGGTACAAAATCAAGCTTGCGAGGTCGAGTTTACTAGAGCAGGCTTTTATTGTTGAAATACTGCATTGTTACAGCTTCAGTTGTTCAATTGATCAACTATTGTACAAAGACTTTATTGGGAGAGAGGGGACGTTTTCCCCTATTGTTAAAATTTATGGTAAAATAATACAACAATAAAAATGTTTTGAAACTTGAACCATTTATCCTCGATCGGTTTTTACTTTAATAGATGAAAAAATTTGAGGTCATACATTGACATTGTGTATAGACTTTTGACTTAGTAACGTAACTCATAGAGTAATTTTGGATTTGTAACGTCACTGCATGTACATACAATATACAACTTTACAGCTAAGAATTTATAGAAATGTACACACATGTATATGTAAAATCTTGATTGTGGGTTATTAGGGGCCAACAATTTGACTTTTGAGGTATGCCGGGACCTGGTATAGGCATGGTGGTGTACTTCCGTAAACAAAAGTGATCATTGTTTGTGACTCATACTTTAGAAAATGTATTCTATTGGGTTATTGTACTTCAGCATTTCATACCTAATCACAAAACCTTTTCCCGTAGCTTCGTGATGACCCTAGCCCTATCCCTAGGCTATTCGTTTGACGACACACGTGTGTGCACAAGAGACCCAGGCTCTATTTGCCCGCGCCCACCAAGTCACAGGTGGGCACGGACAAATAGAGCCTGGGTCTCTGTGGTGTGTAAATATACTACTGAGAAGCAAACCTGCAGATATATGGGTGTAATCCAACTCTGACATGTTGTCGTGCGTAAATTAAAATTGCGTTTATAGATTAATTTTTCGTATTTATAAAGACCAGGGACCGGTTGTATGAAACTCTTAACTACTTTTTAACTACCCGTTTCGTAGTTAAATTATATTAGTTTACTCTGAAATATTCGATTCTGATTGGTTAACTTTTCCACTAACTATAATTAACACAACCGGCCTCTGGCTTTTAGCTGTCAAATGACACCTTTATTGTAACATTGCGATCAAAGATGGGCAAATACGATCTGATTTAAAGTGGTCGATTGAAACTGCATTTTCCACCTTTTAAAATTTCTTCCAATATTCGAACATTTGCCTAAATGCTGGTTGCTTATATGGGGAACGTATGGCATTGGCTTTGTTAAAGTGCTTATATCATGGTTTTGGAGTTTGCACAGGTGTTTGCATATCTCGAAAGTTTAGGGTATTTTAAGGCACTTTGCAATATATTTTGTTATTGAAAAATTTCATCTTGATGGATTTAATAGCTCTTAAAGTTACCGGACATGACGTCAAAAGGAGAATTTTGTTGCAATGGTACAAAGGAAAACTGATTTGCAATTCTCCTTTTGACGTCATGTCCGGTAACTTTAAGAGCTAATAAATCCATCAAGATGAAATTTTTCAATTACAAAATATATTGCAAAGTGTCTTAAAATACCCCAAACTTTCGAGATATGCAAACTCCAAAACCATGATATAGGCACTTTAAGTCTGCAAACTTCCAGTTTTGTAAATGTTTTATTCAATTCAAAACGTGATGCTTCTTTAATAACCCAATATGTTGCTCCGCATCCTTGTTAAAGCAATTTAAATTTGAAACCAAAATGAGAATAATTTCAATACTCAAACAACAGCTTTACATGCAATCCCAACGATGGAAAAATGCGATTTCGACTGACATATCAAAATCGACTCGTATTTGGCTATTTGTGATCGCAATGATGTAAGAAAGGTCTCGTTCGAGATCTAGTGACCTGCTCTTTACTGATGTGAAAAAAGTGAATGGATAAGCGTAATATGTAATGCACGATAACATGCCACAGGCAAAGTTGAATTACCTTTTTTATACACCCTGGATTACCTTTCATTCCGTCTCTTCCATAACCTCTAACGTCAACCGGTTGGCCCCTGCCCCTAATGTCGTGTTTGAAAAATATTATTCGTATTATTCGTTCTGATTATTATCTGTCGCCTGCAACAAACGTGAAAGCATTTTCCCAGTTGGCAGTTGGTTCCTCGTAACTTCGATTCCATGTTTTCAAGTAAATGATGTCGAGAAATCTGCGAACTGCAATAAAGGTTATAAATAGAAATTAATGTACTGTAATCTGCATCAGTTAATAATGTACAGTTGCCGTAAAAATATTCAACGTGTCGTTGTGCGTGCATGAAACATCACTGGGGATTTTATATATATTAGATTTGTAGCAAACTAAATTGGTAAAAATCTCTCCAGAACGTTTATGACATTCAGGCTGAATAATACCATTGCCGTTGGTGAACTGTGGTGGACATGTGGTGGATTGCAAAGTGTCAATTCCAAAAGATAGGAATGTGTGTTGGTCTCGGGGGGTTGGAGGGGTGTGTGTGTGTGTGTGTGTGTGTGTGTGAGATATAAGTTTGACTGTGTTCAACACTGAACCCTGAGCTAAAGCCCAATAAAGATCTTTTGTAAGGCATTAATGAGACCATTCAAATGCCCCCTGTATTTCATATACCACAATCACCGAGTCGTGGACATTTATGTAAGCAGACGACAGACGTAACAAAATACCCTTTGTTTCATTCATTTCCCGTTATTCGACAACTGTAATTTCGTTTCACTATACAGTATAACAAATATATACAAATTCACTGACGCTTCATCAGACAACTACAGTATAATATGCATGTACAGCATGACTTCACGTATGATATTTCATCAAGTGAAACCATCGCACTTTTAAGTCTAATAACCGTGATTCCAACAAAGTACATAATAGCAATTGCAATCAGTGTGGTAGGCCGCAAACATTTATGAAGAAAGTACTAAATCGCACAACATACGTTCTGGACTCGAAACATTTGTTAACATTCTGATATGTTAAATTTAATATTTTACTTTATAGTTATAGCTTATTATTTACAGACAGCCGCGTGCGGACTGCGTCGAGCACATAACATATCGTCCAGATTTTATATATAGCTCGAAAACGAAACGTGGGTCGAACGTATTTCCTTTATACTGTTTTATTTTGTGGAAAATATTGACGAATAAAGCCGCCAAATTACAAAACTTCGGAAAAGTTTTGCCGTCCATAACAACACATCTTACAGAAGATATAGAGATTGCCCTTATAGGACCTAAACTCTAATTGGAAAATCTTACCTTGTCTTTTTCCTCATCATTATTTGGTTCATCACTAGATGGTAAATTTGTATTAAAAGGTGAACCGAAAGATGCTTGAGCATCAAAAGCTGGGGTCATAGCAAATGGGTCATCTCCTGAAAATGGATCAAAATCATCACTGTCTTGTTGAACGTCTCGATCAAAAGATGTCGATGAAGCGAAGGGATCACCTGCGATAGGAGTTTGAAATGGATCTGCACCTGCAAAAGGATCTTTAAAGGGATCACTAGAATCAAACTCAGCAGTAGGTGTTCCTACATTTCCAACAGGCGAGTTATTCTCGATATCATCAAAATCAAAAGTGTCGAAGTTAGCTTGAAACATCGGTGATCCAGTATCATTTGCAAACGATTCAGGTTCTTGTACTGTATCCACAAGTTCATTTTCGACTAAATCATTTTCTTCCAAGTCCAATCTCGGCGGAAGTTCTGGAGGTTTACGTATAGTTGTTTCTGTATGTGATGGATGGTTTATAGTGGGTCTTGGTGGAAGAGCTGGTGGTATTTTAGGACTTCCTATAGTGTCAATGGGTTCCTTAGGGATAAGAGGTCGTGGTGGTAATGGTGGTGGTGAGAACTCAGTTGGTGACTGAGCTCTATTATTAGATGGGATAGCGGTCTTCAGTGTAACATACACATCGTTTGATGAAAAATCAAACGCGTTCGCTTCGTTCGCATTATCCTCCTTACTACTTTCCGTCTCGTCAAGCTGGTCCTCCAAAACTTCATTGTTTGAGACAGGAGAGTTACTTAACACAGTGGCATCCTCGACCGGTTCGGTTGTGTTTATATTTGGCAAAGTCATTGGAGTTTGATATTCTTCAGGTGTTTCAGTAATTTCCTTCTCTTGGTTATCAAGTTCTGCAGTTGTCTCATGACTTGATTTTTCAAGGTCAAATTCAACCGGATTCTGCTGAATGTTATTTGGTTCTTCCTTTTCATTTTCATCTTTGCTTAAAGTATCATTCTCAAATTGCCCTTCCATTTTAGCCTCAAACATCGCTTCAAATATATCTTCCTCTCTATTGCTATTTTGATCGTTTTCACTATTTGTTTCATCAGGAATTTGTTCAAAATCACTTGTATGTACATCTGATTCACTAAAATTTGAAGTAAAAGGATTGTCATTTTCTGCAAACGGATCCGATTTTGTGTCCATGTTGTTGCCACCTTTAGGAGAAAATGGATCGTCATCAGCAAATGCAGCAAATGCTGATTGGTCAAATTCAGTTGGACCGGTACTTGCAAAAGGGTCTTGGCTGGAAAATGCGTCTAAACTAGCATCAAATGGGAATATATCTTGCTGAGTTTGTTTGGATGAATTCTCATCTTCATTTTCAGTCTCAAAGTTGACTTCAAATGATGTTTGAGTGACGAACGTACTGGTTCCAGTCGTAGTGGAGGTTTCAGTTTCAACATCATTCGCATCGTTATCATTTTGTTTCTCACTTTCAAACGACGAAAAATTCTCAATAGTTGGATTAGTAGAAGGCAGTTCTTTAACAACTCCTTCTACAGGTTCAAATTCGATCTTTGTCGAATTATAATTTATATCTTCCGTTTCTTTGGAATTAGACGTGGCTTCACCAGAAGGCTCCGAGGAAGATATTACCTCATTGTCAATGTTTGCATTTTCATTTTCGTTTTGAGATGTTTCGAAATTCGTCTTCACATCAGTCGTTGACGAAAGATCGTCAAATGCATTGAAAGAGATTTGTTTTGAAGGCACCGTCTGTATTTCGTCGGCACCAGGTATATTAAATCTCTCCGAATCATTGGAAGATTCAGAAAAGTCTGTGAATTTTAAATCCTCAGGACTTGTAAATCCATTTTCAAATGGCGGAAACTCGGCATGAAATGTGCTTTGCTTCGAGGTTTCCTCTGTGGGGAAGGACACAGTTGAGTCAGAGATGGCCTCGAAACCAGGATCGTCATTTGTGGCAGGTGTAGACACGCTGTCCGAGAAAGGCTGAGAATTTTCTTGCATACTCAAGGATAAAGCAATAGCCGTGGCAATATCTGCCCGTTCTCTTTCACTTATCTCGTTTTCTTGGCGTGGAACCTACAGGTAAAAGAAGAACCTTTGTTGTACTATAAAACGTTACTTGAACAAGGCGAGAGCTGGATCAGATTACAAGTTTTCGACAAAACACAATTAGATGTCAAAGCATACAGTACTTGTAAAATAAACAAGGTAGTACCTGATATTCATTACTTTCACTGACGCTTGGTGACTGGAAAGGTTGGTCAGTTGGAATCTAATAACAGTATTAAAATATTGTGATACAATATTTTAATAATTCTAGCACCATGCTTGAACACTTTAATAAACGACCTTATAATATATACAGTAATTTAAACATATGCATTTTTGTTGAAGGAACAACTTAATGTAACTCACAGCGTAGTCAGACGGTGGTTCTGAGGGCGTACGTTTGACAAAAGTGGGTTCCTAGAAGAAAATATAATGCGAAGTACATTAAAAGTTTCCGATAAGCAAGAGGAATGGGGAGAGGTTTGTTTATGCGTATTTTAAGATAGCTATATGATTTAAAAGACTTACCACAGAAAAAACATTAAAACAAAAGAAACTATCATACCGCATATAAATGTTCATCTGCTGGATACTGCTGTTGATCCCCACCAATTTTGTTTGACATTTCTGAAAAGATAAAACCATTATGAGAAAGTACAAGTTAAAACTTTAACAACTCATTGGACGTTGTTGTTCGTGATGTTTCAAACACTAGTTGGAGTGCATGTGGCAATGCAAACAAGTTAAAAGTACATTGCTCTTTTATACCAATTCCCTAAATTTGAAACTACATGCATGTATATACGTATATACAGTATAACGTATTACTAGTCCCAGACAAAAACATTGCATAGCATATTTGAAATATATCGCGGTATTCCGGAACAATTTCAAGCAAATGGTATGTGATCTACATGAGAGTAGAGTACTAGAGTTGACACCCAATACTCCCAATAACGGAAACATTCAATGAAAAACAGAAAACGCTTGAGTTATCAGGAGTGTGTCGTTAAATTATTTAAAATAAGATGAATAAATCGGTATCTTTATGTTTCATATTATTACACAACTTAACTTAACTCTAAATTCCGAAGCATGGCCTTCGCAATATAAGGTTCCAGAAAACACAAATTAAGGCACGCCGCATGACACACAATAAATATTATTTGCAATTATCGCGAATTCAAACTTAATTTTTGCACTATGATTTTTCTGGAGCTATAACTAGCAAATATGGTATTTCACGCCTACATATACATCGCGTTTGGTAACTACAGTATTCGTGCAGTTAACTTAGCCAAGAGCATGTGAAAGCCTTGAAACAATTTGATCAGCAACCATGTAGCCCCACGCAGTCATATACAGTAGACTGAATTTTTGAGTTAATTGAAACCTTTAACATTGACAATGTTTTTATCTTCGACGGTTAACCCTAAAAATGCAAGCGACACTGCAACCAGGAAATGATAGTGAGTATACCCACCAAGCAACATTTTATCTTGCAATGGTTCCAAAGGCTGAGAGGATTTTTCATGTTGTCTGTGTTTATTATCTTTACCCTGGATCTTTTTATTCTCTTGCATCTTGTACACCACTTGAAACAGTTCATATAGTTGAACTGTTATCACATCCGCCTAAAATGCGCAATTCTGAACATCAGGGTGTTTCTATGTTGTTCTCTCATTGTTTTGCTTATTGTGCATGGCAGGAGTATGTTTCAAAATCAATTTTGAGAATTGCTTGTGACCTTTTCTTGCTGTGCTTGTTAAAAAATAAAAACTGCATGGACTTGCAATTGCATGGACTTGTACAGCAACTTACAGATTTATCGGATTTAATAGCAAAGAGATAATATTTCCTGGCCTCGTTAGCAGCACTCCGTGGTGGACTATAGATATAACCAAATACATGACGGTCTTCAGGATCATGAGATATGAACGATATCTTTTGTATAGGATGCTCGTGTTCAATTGTCTACAAAGAGAAAGTCGAAATGGCCGATTGAATCGTCACTAATCTTTAGAGCTGTTTCCACTTAATCGATTATTTTCTCGGCGTTTTTCCCGCAATCAATTATACTTATTAAATATAAACAATAACCGGAATAATCGGATCATCTATAAGAATCGTGCACAGCACGGCGATACCGGAATGCGACAATGAGCTTCCTTGCGGAATTATTGTCATACCTTACGTTAGTTGGCTTATTGTCAACGTTTATATATTAACTTTATCCAAGCCATCATCACGTTGACTTATTGTCAACGCATGCAATGTTTCGCAAGTTATTCTCAACGCAAGTTATTACAGTGTGTGACGACATTTTCGCTCACTGTGTTTATAAATAGGTATTGTGTAAATAGACAATTTTTAAATGTACGTATTGAAACGTTATTTATATTGTACTTGAAAAATCGCCCTGAACTAAACCTCGTCATTGTATTCATGTATTGTCAGTTGTCTACTTGTATGAACTCTGTGTGCGCGAGAAAGTGCGCAATAAGTACAGTAAACAATAATTTGAAACGTAAATACGGACTGAATTATTGGGCGACAACAAGCAAGGGGCATATAAAATTTAAATTAACTAATCAATACCAATTAATCGATTAATCAATCAACTGCGAAAATGATGGAGCAGTTCTACCAACCCAGTGTTGAAAACTATTATATAGCATCCACTGCCAACTAATGGTTATAGTCTTTTTCAAAACGGCTTCCATCCGACCTACTTGGTTTTCTGAGCATGATTCAAACAAAGATATACAGTACATGTACTGTAATTTTACTTTTGTCAGCATGTGATATGGGCATATGGTATATTAAATATAGTAATATACTAATTTTTTCTTCCCAAGCCAGCATTTTTTTAGCTGTCAAAATGGAAATGTGACCTTTATCAGTGTAGTCAACCACTTGAAAATGAAGATTTTATTTTCTACTTGAGCCATTCCATTGTATTTGGCCAATTGATAAAAAAACTTATGTCGCTAAGTGCTCAGGTCTACACACGTCTACAGTGCCCGAAATTTAATTACTTGGAATCCACTTCCATGGGGATAATACCTTCATGGGTATTACATATATATGTTGACTACATACATACATACAGCTATTTCAATTAAGGTTGTCCACGAGCAAAGCGGAAAAGTCGAATACGAGCGCGGAAGGCAGCTGGGAATCGCTTTGAAAATTCATTAATTTGTTAGCGATTCCCAGTAGCCTTTCGCGCTCGTATTCGACTTTTCCGCTTTGCTCGTGGACAACCTTAATTGAAATAGCTGTATGCATTCCTAGTTTTCAGGCAGTCCCATGACAGTGCTCCCTAATATGTTTCCTGATAAAGAAAACTAGATGTTGCCTCAAACCTGACACTCCCCATATATTAGATTGACAAAGAGACCAGGCACACATTGGGATATTTCATGTTGTTTAACTTAAGGCGCCAATAAACGGCCCCATGAGAATGTACCACTTTCCCCTGCAATAGGCTAGGCTATGAAAAGACTAAAAGAAGTAAATTAAATATCTCTTATTGTTCTATATATTTTCCCGTTAATTACCTGTGTTTTTTCATTGAACAATCTTACGCCTTGAAGAGTTATATTAAATGTTATTTTAAGCTTATGCTCATTGGCACCTTTCTTCAACTGTTTTGCTTGTTGCTGAAATAAATAATGCAAAGTAATTAACATTTTTGCACAATTTTGGCATTACAGTAACAGTCTTAAACAAACCTTGAGTTTTTGAATTGCTTGAACAGATGATTGATCACCTCTTGGTCCTGGCACTTCAACAAAGCCAAATAACTAAGACAAATAATAGTAAGGCATTTCAGAAAAACGTGACAGAGAAACTTTAACAAATGTGACAGAAGTCTTTGAACTTAATTTATTTGAAATTTTGTAACATTTTTAATTTTCAAACTAGCTTTGATGTCCCATCCCAAACTAATTCAAGTATGTTTCAATGCAAATTACAGTATTACACACTGGTAGAGAAGGAGCCAGACTGTAAAGTTTTGGCTTTGGAGGAGGCACAGTTCAGCCTTTTGATTGATGGTTTTTAAGGTGCATTACAACCCTTTGGGGGAGCTTCACCTAGAAATTTGGTGATACTGGAAAAAAATATCAAAATTTTAAAAACATCATAATAGTATACCTTAACATGTACTTTATCAACTACTGATGTTTTTTGTTTTTATGCGTTTTACCATTAAAAAATAGACTTTTGGTAGAGAACCTGAAAATCTGTCGATTGTTTGCAGCTGGTTACCATGGAAACGGAATTCAAAAAACCTCTGAAAAGGCCGTTTTTCTGGGCCATTTTGATGTAAAAATATTGAATAGGGCTACCTATGCTAAATGTGTGTATTAGGGATACGAGGGGGGCATAGGCATAGAGATTATAAATAACACTAGAGGAGGCATCGAGTTTAAAAATTGGGAACGCAACTAATGGGGGGCAAATTCAAGTCCCGGATATAAAATCCTGCTCTCATTGGCTGATTTGAAACTCGTCACCAATGGGAACACGAATACACATCCGGGACTTGAATTTGCCCCCCAATAGTCGCGTTCCCTTTTTTTTACTGAATTAAGATTACAATGCCTCCTCTAGTGTTATTTATAATCTCTATGGGCATAGGTACATGCTTATTGCATAATTTTGCTTATTTACATTCTGATTTGCATACTGTGGTCAACATTCGAAACAGGTTTGAGAATGTATTCTGCTGAATCGCTATTTTGTCGCTATATTTTGTTGTATTTTTTGCTTGTAATAATGCCAAAAGGTTCTAAAGAAGGCACAAAGTTGCGTGTGAGAAACAAATCAACGAAGAAAAACCTTTTCAAAGGGAAACGTTTCGCTGATTTGCGCAAAGATGGCGAAAATAATGGCTCTCAATCTGCCAGCCAACAAAACGCAATTACCCAAGATAATGATAAATAACGAAGATTTGGTTACTGTAAAGTCAACATCGGCAAGAAAACTGGAGAATGCTAGTTCTGAACTACCCCAAACTCCCGAATTTACAAGACAGAATTCACAAGAGGAAAAAGACGGATACCGAATTGTTTATATTGAGAACATACGGAAAGCTGTTGAAATGATGCACAAATGTAAGAATGGGACAATCATAACTTGTGAAGATGCTTCAAAACGTGCTGGATTGAGCAGCAGCTACTATTTTGAATGCACCAAATGTAGACAGAGAGTGGACATGGATACTTCGAAGCCAGTCGAGGGAAAAGCTCGTTCTTTTGATGTTAGAATCGGAGAACGAATTTTGCCATGGGTGAGTTGGGCTTAGGCAGAGAGGCTCTTGCAACCATTTGCGAAATTTTAAATATGCCACCCCCAGTAAGTGATAGTGCTTATCAAAAACATAATCGCTCGGTGAACTTAGCAACACGAAAAGTTTTGGAAGAAAGGTTGAACGATGCCGGCCATCCAGTACGCACATTCCTGCAGAAGGATGATGCAGAAATTCTTGATGTTGCCGTGTCATTTGATGGTACATGGAGCAAAAGGGGCTTCACGGCCAACTATGGAGTTGGAATTGTCATTTCTGCTGATACTGGGGAAGTCTTGGACTATGTTGTTTTATCAAAGGTCTGTGAACTTTGCAAAGCTGCATGAGAAACACAAAAGCAATCGCGATAAATACCAAGAGTGGAAAGATGCTCATGCGGCCAGTGGACTGTGCCAAAAAGAATTATAATGGTTCTAGTCCTGCTATGGAAAAAGAAGCAGCCAGAATTTTGTGGAGTAGATCTGTCGAGAAGCACAAGTTCCGGTATATTGATATGGTATGGTTTGTGATGATTGTGAGAAATATGAAAATATGGACAAACAGTCAGCAGAGTACCAAAAGTGGTTGAAATCGAAAGCACATGCTAATTGGGAGAGAGAACATAGCACAAGCAATGAAAATTGCCATCGGGTTAGCAAGCTTGATTGTGTGTCGGACATGTGCAGAAGCGTATGGGCAAAAACCTGATAGCTCTGTCTGCAAAGTCAAAGCTCGCAGATGGTAAACCGGTGGGAGGAAGAGCAGGAAGACTCACCAGGCCTATGATTGACAAACTGCAGAAATATTATGGCAATGCCATTAGACGGTGCGTGGACAAAAAAGCGAAAAGTAAACAAGAAGTGGAGGATGCAGTAAAGAGAATGCAATGTGCGATAAAAGGAGTATTGTACCACAGCGTGAAGATTGTGGATGAAAAGAAGAGGCATCAGTACTGTCCTGATGGAGAAAGTTCCTGGTGTTCATTCAAGAGAGACAAAGCAGTAGGAACCAATACTCCTTTTCTCGACAAGTCACACCATCTGGATCCAGTCTTTTTAGAATTTTTAATACCGATATTCGACCGACTTAGTGAGAAGAAGCTGCTGAAAAGGTGCTTACCAGGGCTCTCACAGAATGCTAATGAGTCTGTCAACTCACTTGTGTGGAACAGATGCCCTAAACATAGGAACAGAGGGATAAAATCTGTTGAGACAGCAGCTGCCTCTGCAATCATGCAATTCAACATTGGTGCGGCTGGTCGACATGGCGTCATGAAAGAGTTGGAGATCTCTGGTGGTTACTATACAAAAGCTGGAAGTGGGAAAAAGAATAAGAAGAGAGTGAAGCAAGCAAATGCAAGAGCCCAAAAGAAATTTAAAGAAGCAAGGCAGAAGATCCGACAGGCGAAATTGGTTGAAGAGGCCAGATTGAAGGCATTAGAAGGAGTAACATATCAAAGCGCGGCATTTAACGAAGATAATTTCAATGGTTCAAGGAAGAGAAAGAGGAAGACAGATAAAACTACTCCTAAGGAAGGCAAGAGCAAGCAGACAAGGAAAGAATAACACTTTAAAACAGTAAAAAACACTAGAAACACAAGTTTCAAGTCTACTTGGACTTTAACTGCCTTTTTCTCAAATTGCGATATTCGGCCGCTCATCAACTGCCCCCCAAGGCTATCTTCTTACTCTTTTAACGAAAATGTACCATTTTTGGCACACATGTAGCCCAAGGTATGTAGAATGCTCCTATTACCCATTTTTTTAATATATATTTTCTAACAGGATTTACAGTGAAAATTCTATGTGCAATCTGTTTTATACGTTACCATAGCAACCATGGTGAATGACAAAAAAATGGGTAATAGGAGCATAGTTCAATATCCTAGCTACCATCCTGTGCAATTTCACTTGAATACACAACATATTGAAAGAGATTTTATGGGGGGGCAAAGTGGCCATTAGAATTTAGTTTTCTATATACTACTCTCTTCTGTGGTGTCAAATTTCAATCTGATTACGAACACTGAAAAAAATTTTTGTTCCATTTTGTAGCTTAATATCTGTAGTTTCTAAAAATATATAGTTTATGCATATTTTGTCTTAAAACATGCCTGAAAACGATTGTTAAAGTTGGCCTAAGTTAAAGTAAATTTCGAGGTGAAGCTCCCCCTTATTAATTGAAAAAACTAACCAGGAAAATCAATTAAGCATAATTCAAGATCAGTGAACTCAATGTTTTTAACATTAAAAAATGTTAAAAAATGTTTAAAACATTGAAGTTACTGATCTTGAATTATACTTAATTGATTTTCCTGGTTAGTTTTTTCAATTAAAAGGGTTGTAATATGCCTTAAAAACCATCATTCAAAAGGCTGAACTGTGCGTTTAATTTCCTGCACAAACATTCTTTTATAATGAGAATCTACGCAAAAATTACTCAAATTGTAAAAAAATAGGTACGCAGTGCGTACATGTTGAATACCATCTGAAATCTTATTAGTCCAGTCAAATCACGATAAGTAGATGGTCCTGATCAAAGTAGTGGTAAAGTGGTAAAGTGTGAGAAAAGTTGTTCTGATTTTAACATACTAAAAATAAAAATAAATCCCTTCGGTGGAACATGGTTTTTCTTACTTCTACCTATAGAAAACCATTGTGGACAGAATGTTGAAATTTTGAAATCATTTTTAGGCAAATGTAACCTACATTATTGGAAAGCTTAGAAAAAACTAAAATATAAATCATAAAACGGTTATCTTGCTTTTGCCTATCCAGCCGAAGTTATACAAGATTTAAAATGCCATAAATTTGTATTTTGTGCAAATTTTGCACTATTTTTCCAACTTTGAGCTAGAATAACGACAAACTGACCAGTAAATTGAATATAACCGTTTAATGATCTATATTTTAGTTTTTTTCTAAGCTTTCCAATAATGTAGGTTACATTTGCCTAAAAATGATTTCAAAATTTGAACATTCTGTCCACAATGAGAAACTCGATTTTCACCATGTTCCACCGAAGGGATTTTTTTTTATTTTTAGTATGTTAATCAGGACACCTTCCCTCACATTTTACCACTGAAAAAAATTCTATTGCAATTTCTTTGACCTCTGGTCACAGATTGACTGGACTATATGATGCGCTATAGCGCTTATATAAATCCTTGGTACAACTGGCGTGAAACATATACTAACAATATTTCAACGTACCGTACAAAACAAATTTGTAATGCGAGAAAAATACGAAAAGTTTTTGCATTTTTTTCAATTCTTGAATGAGACGATGCTGGATTCTCGCTCGACGTTTTTGATGGCATTTCAAATGATGAATTTCCAATCTCATTGGCTGTCATTTCGACATTTTAAAACCGTAAAAATGACAGCCAATAAGATTGGAAATTCGTCATTTGAAACGCCATCAAAAACGTCAAGCGCCAATCCAGCATCACAGAATAGAAAATATAACCAGAAGCCTCACTGTGTACACCTTTCCTTAACATTTTCGTATCCGCAATTTTCGCCTTGCGGATCACGAATTTCGCACGCTAGATGACGTGTGACACTTGCTGCGAACATCACGTCAGCGTTCGTCAGCATCAATCTGGCGTCAATTCCTCAAATCAACGTTTTTTCTTGAAATCACAAAACATGCTCAAAGTGTACGCTGCATATTCTGCAATTAATTATTGTGTAAATATTTTACGCTTTTGTTTTTAAGTCGTGTCTTCCTGTTGCGATGACCCATTATTTGGACCTGTGGTATTTAAAAACGGTTAAAACAAACGATCTTTATCAAGTGATGGCGTATTGCTCGTGTTTGATATCGTCGTGATTACACTTGCTGGCTCGCCCCTGCGCATAAAAAATTACGGACATAATTTTGGCTCAGTGAGACTTCTGGTCTTACTTTCTATTCTGTGCCAGCATCGTCTCATTCAAGAATTGAAAAAAAATGAAAAAACTTTTCGTATTTTTCTCGCATTACAAATTTGTTTTGTACATTAAAATATTGTTAGTATATAGTAAAAGTATCGTAGATTTTATTTCTGTGATTATTTTAGCGTAGTTGTAAAGATATTTGAAGTATTTTGGATTGTTTGAAGGTATATGTATCGTTAGTTTGATTGCATTTGCCTACCTTAGGAAATAATACAACTATACAATGCCTCGCTCGCGCAAAGGCAGGCAACCATAACATTGGGCTGCCTATGGTTTGAGTGATTGAAATGAGTTAATTTACACTATATCGAATGTCATGTTGAATGTCATGTTGAATCTTATGCGTACTTCACAATGGTTGCTATTTCGTTGTATTAAATTTCAATAGTATGTATAAATACTATTTATAATTCAAATTTTGTTTGATATTTATATATCATGATTTTTTTTTTGTGTTGGTATAATGAACTCAGGTGAATATATATGATGCTTGTGATGTTACTCTGAGTGTATATCCACACCGGGCAAGCTTGAAAAATATGCCTGACCACGGTGGGATTCGAACCTACGACCTTTGGAATACTAGCCCAATGCTCTGCCAACTGAGCTACGCGGTCTGGTCGGTTCGAGTATGTGATATTTCGGAACAGAATCTAGTTCCTTCGATATCAATGTAATCTAATAATCATGAATTTTTCTGTGCTGGTATAATGAACTCAGGTGAATATATATGATGCTTGTGATGTTACTTTGAGTGAATATCCACACCGGGCAAGCTTGAAAAATATGCCTGACCACGGTGGGATTCGAACCTACGACCTTTGGAATACTAGCCCAATGCTCTGCCAACTGAGCTACGCGGTCTGGTCGGTTCGAGTATGTGATATTTCAGAACAGAATCTAGTTCCTTCGATATCAATGTAACCTAATAATCATGAATTTTTCTGTGTTGGTATAATGAACTCAGGTGAATATATATAATGCTTGTGATGTTACTCTGAGTGTATATCCACACCGGGCAAGCTTGAAAAATGTGCCTGACCACGGTGGTTCCTTCGTTCTAGTTCCTTCGATATCAATGTAATCTAATAATCATGAATCCTGCAGGAATCCCTAGTCTGGAAAATTTCTGCACATTTTTCTCAGGAAAAAATACTTCCTGTGCAATATAAAACATTTCAGTCTGGAGTAAGAGCATCTGTAAGTTACTTAAAATGCTCAAAGATTTATCTCAAGTGTGCTGCCTACCTCCCAATCAGACATTGGGAGGGGGCAACTGCAGCTCCATTTCAATAATTTCTATAAACTTTTGAATGACTGATGAAAGAAACCGCAATATTTTGCAGTAAGTGTGTGCCACTGATGCAAACAAGGGACTTTGAAGGAAATCTAAATATTGAAGAATGAAACACAACAAAATGGCAGTCCTCATTTCGACATTCTGTTTTAGATTTTGCCAGTAATTTGAATGTATAATTAAATACAGCTACATTTCGATCCCTTTCCCTCACTGGACACCAGCACGTATTAAAGCTGATAATTTATCATACAATTGTAGTACCTTCATAGGATTTGTATTTGCCCATTTAGCATAAGTGGCCATGGACACAGGACCAGATATTCACATTATTTGCCCTGGGGTTAATACGGTATTTACACAAACAGGTATTAATTAGTACTTACTTTAGCTTTGTAACTCAGCCCTTGCCCTTCAAATTTGGCATAATTCAGCACGACTCCTTAACACAAAAATATTAACTGCCAATTGAATCTCATAAATGAGCTTAAGTGTTTTTATTGCTCATGAATATCAAGTGCGCACACAATATATTTTATGGCAAAAAAAGTTTTCAATAAAATTTTTGAAATTCCAAGGAGCGATCATGCTAGAAAACTAACACATAAACATGTAGAGGCAATTGCTATACTCACCTTTCCCTTTCCCAACTTTCCCTTTTGGATTCTTGTCTTTTTCCTCTTTCTTGTTTCCTTTTAATTTCGCCTTTGGTTTGGCCGCAGCTGTACTGCCCTCCATTATGAGTCTACTATTTGTGGCAGCACCGACGATGTTAGCACGGCTTTAACATGTAAATACGAGGAATTTTCAAACTGGCCTCCTTTCAAGGTTTACTGTACCTTAACACGAGCAAGGAAATGGGAAATAGAACTAACATAATGCAAAATCCCGTGGGTATTTGCGTGAAAAGACGCTTTCAAATATCGATTGACAAAATTTCTAGATGAGTGTCGTAGCGACTCGAAGGGTGGGGCTATTTGTGGTGAATGTTGGTTGTTGAGTGTTTCGAATGGGGATATTTATGGTTAATGATATATAAAATCCCTGGATAATTTCATTCTATTTTTTACGTTTCGACTAATTTTAGTCACAATTACTAAATGACTAGCCAATTTTAAAAATATCAGTCGAAACCTCCAATTAGAATAAACTATTTTGAGTTTGTATCTTATCAAAATATTAACTGGTACTGAATATGATGAATATTTAGTATCACATGTGGATATATTTGGGTATCAGGCAGAGGGATTATAATGGATTACAAAGAACAAAAAGATCACTGGAAAGATGGAGTCGAGCGGGAAAGTGCCGTTTTCTCAACTCCGAAATTTAGTACGAAGTTATATCGATAAACATTTATATGAAACAGCTTTATTCTGGGCTGAAAAGTCAATGTCTTTATCGAATAACGAGCTTCAAGATGTCTACTGGTTTGCTCAAGCTTTGTTTTACACAAAGCAATACCAAAGAGCTGTGCATGCATTAACTAGCCGTGGTCTACATGAAAGTAATTTGGCTTGCAGATATCTAGTTGGCAAGTGTTATGCTGAATGTAAGAAATGGCAAGAAGCTTTAGACGTTCTTGAAATGGAACAGAAATGCTCAAAGAGCAATTTGTCATCTGATCTTGGGGCTGGAAGCAAGAAACTTGAGGCCGCAGTCCATCACTTAAGGGGGCTGGTGTATGACGCAATGGACAATGGTACAATGGCATGTGATTGTTATAAGGAAGCTTTGAGAAATGATGTCCATTGTTATGAAGCATTTGATCAACTGACGTCACATTATATGTTAACTCCAAACGAAGGATCTGAATTTCTCAACTCATTGCCTTTTGAAGAACAGTGCCTTTCTGAAGAGATCCCATTACTGAAATACCTTTACGAAATAAAACTACAGAATAGCAAGAAGTCTGTAAAGTTACTTACTCCTTATGAATCTGTAAGCAACAGCTTAGATGTGATTGTATGCATGGCAGAGAAGCAATTCTCCAAATGTGATTTTCAGATGTGTTATAAAATGACGAGCCAAGTGTTACAAAAAGATCCTCTTCACAGTGCTTGCTTACCATTGCATATCTCATGTATGGTTGAGTTGAAGAAATCCAATGATCTGTTTTTTCTTGCTCACAAGTTAGTTGATAATTATCCAGACCAAGCAGTGTCGTGGTATGCAGTCGGTTCCTACTATTACCTCATATCAAAGCATGAAGCTGCACGTCGATTCCTGAGTAAAGCCACAACAACTGACCACAACTTTGGTCCAGCCTGGATAGGATTTGGTCATGCCTTTGCAGTAGAAGGTGAACATGATCAAGCAATGGCTGCCTATTTTACAGCATCAAAGTTAATGCCCGGAGCATACCAGCCCTTGCTGTATGTTGGTATTGAATACAATAAAACTAACAATCCAAAGTTGGCTGAGAGATTTTTCAATCAGGCATTGACCATTGCACCAGATGATCCAACTATCAAGCATGAACTTGGTCAGATTGCTTTTCAGAATGGCAATTATACCAAAGCTGAGAAATGCTTCAGAGAAGCTCTTGAGAATGTACAAAGTTTGAGCTCAGGTGTTATCTTGGATACATGGGAGCCATTGGTGAATAATCTTGGCCATGCAATTCGAAAACAAGGAAGATATGAAGAAGCACTTAAGTATCATCAGCAAGCTTTGGTTTTAGTACCTCAAAATTCTCACACCCTTTCTGCTATTGGCTTTGTTCATAGTTTACTTGGCAACTGTGAGCAAGCAATCAGTTATTTTCATAAAGCATTAAGTCTGAGGAAAGATGACACGTTTAGTGTTCAAATGTTGGGTCAAACATTGGAGCAATTCTCTCTTGCTATTCTTCCTGGTGAGCCTGAGGAACAGTTACCATTAAGTAGTGATGCTGCTGAACAAAGTGTAACTGGTGGACAGAGCATGATTGATACTAGTATTGAAGATGTAAGCATGGAAACATAAACTGCCATAAAATTACTTTACATGTACAGTATGATGAAATGCAGAGTAAATGCATTTCGAAAATTGTAACTATTGAATTTGAAGTAGGTCTAGGCTGTTGCGATATATCGATAAATACCAGTATTTTTCAAATATTGATATATCAATATTGGACTTTTTGAACTATTGAAAAATATAGTTATTTTCATTTTTTGATAAATAGTATCAATAAACAATTATTTTTAAACTGTTTTCAATTACTTATGATTGTTTTTGAGATGCTTTTACTGTCATTGTTACTAATTTTAGTTATTACTTAGTGAATTTTGAATTGCTTTGAATTCTCGGCCCATGTAAGGTAATCCATGCACTCCTTGGATTCCGGATGCCAGTCCATGGATTCCGGATTCCGCTCCTTGGATTCCGGATAACGCTCCTTGGATTCCGGATAACGCTCCTTGGATTCCGGATAACGCTCCTTGGATTCCTCTCTTTGGATTCCGGATTCCGCTCCTTGGATTCCAGAGAATTGGCCCAGGATAAGGATTCTGGCTTCCTCCGATGTCTGGATTCCGGATTGCAAAGCTATTAAAAGTCGGACTCCTGGATTACCTTACATGTGGCGAGAATTCTTGATGAATGCGCACGTTCACTGCGTGAATCATCAAAATTGCGACTAGCAATTAGCAATATAAATATTGCGACTACCATATAAATATCGAAGAGAATACCAACCATAGATGGCGACGACAACCCCCTAGTTTGGTGAAAGTACCATGCTCGAAGATTTCAAATACTTAGTAAACTGGCCCGAAAGTATTTGGTTATGTGTGCCAGTAGTTCGCCGACTCTTTAGTAAAGCAGGTCAAATGGTAAGCTGACAGAGAGCATAAATAAAACTGACCAAGCAAATATGCTTATATTGTTGGCTGAGAACTTATTGGTAAACCATCTTGTAATGTACCCATTATGTAGTTTTGCATTTAACAAAGTGTTTCTATTTAATTTCATAACAAAATTTGCAGCGGAAAAAATATCGATATTACCGGTATTATTTTTTCAATATCGATATTTTCACTAGTCCATAAATTTAGTTAATTGATTCAAACAGTGGCGTACTGGCCGGGGCCCAGCGAAAATGTTTTAGGGGGCACCAACAGGGCATTTTTTAAGAAATTACAACTACTGGGGCTTAGTCTCAATGAGGGCCTTTTCCCCACACAGTTCATACGGGTACATAAAAATCACTCTGTGCTCAGGGGCAGAGCTAGCGCTATTTAAATAGGGGGGGGGGGGAGTGAAATATTGCCTACTAATTTCAAACGCTAATTAGTATTTCTTTTCATCCAACTGGTATTAGATAACTTGCCGACAACCCACTTTTAGCACCGCCCCTGCCTGTGCCGACTGTTATAGGAGGAAATTAATGTCGAGAATGAGAGGATATGAGAAAGCAGGCAGATGCATTTTCAACAAAGTTAACCTTTTACTAATGATCAAAAGGGTGGGGTTCATCTGAAAATCGTGCTTCACTACTGGGCCTGGGGCAAGTAAATGCCCCAGTACTGTAGTTATATAGTTAAAAAATGCACTGGGCGCCAAAGCATAAATGGGGCGCCGAAATTGCACAAAATCCGCACTGAAAGCACACACAAAAGCGCCAGTCCGAATTGGAACTTCAGATCCGATTGGCCAATGCCGGAGAGAAAAAAATCGAATATTGTTTGATACATTGTCGTCGACTCGTCGTTTCACCTTACTGCCATTTGCAGTTTTGCAGAGAACTTCCAAAATGCCCGCGACTTGAAAGGCTTGCCTGAGCCAGCATAACCGGTTTCTGCACGACATATCGCATCGACTCATCCCGTTGCGCCGAAGAGCTGTTCACCTTTGCACCTTCATTCTTAAAGTTCAACCACGCGTCCGCGCTCCCTTTTCGTTTTTCCCAAAGTCAAGAAAAAAAGGAACTGAGATTTTCACGATGTCGATGGACGATGGCTCTGATTCTGAAGAAGAATATTATGGATTTATGACGAGAACGATCATGATGATTCAGATCATGATGAAGAATCATACGAAGACACCTCCTGCGACGGAAGAAAGATGTAATCCTGTCGCATCCTGGTCGATGCATTTCCCACACTTTGTAAATAGTGTACGCCGTACGCGACTGCGATCCTTATCAGTTCTGATTACATGGAGCATTTTCAACCCCGGGGTTGAACTCAGCCCTGTTTACCGGGTTGAAATTTCAGCCCCGTCTGTAATACAAAACTCTATCAAAATCAAACGCGCGATTACATGACAAAATTTTCAACCCAGGGCTGAGTTCAACCCCGGGGTTGAAATTTCAACCCTGCTTCAGCTAGCAAGGTTGAAATTTCAACCCCGGGGTTGAACTCAGCCCTGGGTTGAAAATTTTGTCATGTAATCGTTTCAACCCAGGGCTGAAATTATCATGTCTTATTCGAGCATACGTGGTAGTGACTATTTATTACAAGAAAACAAAATAAAGGCTTTTTTTACTTCCACGAATCGATGCCGCGAACGTATAGTATAACGTTTCAACCCCGGGGTTGAAATCGTCCATATAATCGCAAAACATTTCAACCCGGTTAACAGGGCTGAGTTCAACCCCGGGGTTGAAAATGCTCCATGTAATCGGCCCCTTAGTACAGAGTAAAAACTGGCGAAGACAAAGAGCGCATGCATATTATAATATTGACGTGTTTGCAAAAGGCAAAGACGTCAATGGAACTATCAAAAGCAGTTTTGTAAATTAACATTTTTTACAAATCAAACTTTGTCATTATACATAAAACTAGAAAATAATTAAACTGTCTGTGTAAACATAATTTAATAAATAATCTCTCGCACACCTGTCTCGTAATTCAGAAAAGTTGTCCTTTGCAAACCTTAAACTCTAAACCTTAAACTCTAAGCGCGCAAAGCTTAATGGGAGCACAAGTTTCAAGGTTACCATGCAGACGTTGAATATCGCAACTATTATTTTGTGAATGAATTGTTCTCGTAAGGAGATATTTACCATGTTTCTAAGAAATGGGCCCCATATATGATTTCTAAACTGATGCTCCCATTATGCTTTGCATGCTTAGAGTTTAAAGTTTAGAGTTTAAAGTTTGCAAAGGACAGCCTTTTTTGAATTAGCTGTATGCAAATATCCAATACCTTTACTCCTCAATGCATTTGCAGTTTATTGATCTAAATATTTCGTCAAAACGCAAGAAATGGCTTTTCAGGGACTATTCATTCTCGTACCCAGAGCCCTTCTTACGCGCGGTGCGACGAGGGGCTCTGGCCAAATCCATATCCGAACTGGCATCTGATTGGCTAGTTCTAACAGCGGATATTGTTTTCTTACCATGTTTTTATGGTATCCGGTTATGGATTTGACCAGAGCCCCTCGTCGCACCGCGCGTAAGAAAGGCTCTGGGTACGAGAATGGGGACTATTGATTTCAAACTTTTCCAAGGGTATGCCCCAAACCCCCACAGGCATCTCGCGTCTATGACACTTGCCCATTGGCATATACAATTACAAGAAGGAAAAGGGGTGCCAAATATCCATTTCCATTCCCAAACACGGGCCAGCACGCTACTGGATTCAAAACAATTGACTGTCAGCGTAAAGACTAAGCCAGCTAGAAGACTTTTTTATTAATTTTTAAGAAAAAAATTCAGTATCATGATATTGCAGTGAACAGGTAATGAAGTTTAAATGCATCAACAACACAATACAATTACAAAATTGTAATAACTGGCAAAAATTGTTAATTTTATTTGATGTCTACTCAAATCTAAAGCTTCATGATTATGAATTATTTGTGTTTTGATATACAGTAGGCAGGGGCACTTTACTGGTAAACTATTAAATACATATCAGGATTTTTCCTCAAAACCAGTTTTACGGTTTCACAGCACCTATCCAACCTGGGATGACAAATATTGCAGCTGTACAATAATTCATCACTCCTACAGATATGATAGTGTTTTTAACTATTGGCATAATTTCTCAAGAAATTTAAAATAATTATATTTGATATTGTACTCCATATCATACCAAAAGTTGATAGCAATGGTAGCTTGTGTCTGTTGGACATGATGAAACCATAATGATGGCAGATAGAGAACATCACCTTTTTTGACTGTACAAGAAACTGATTTAACTTTAGCAAACTCAGGATATGTTTCATAGTCAGGGTTTAATGGATCTACTGGTATCCAGGGAATTGTCTCACTTGGGTGCCCTGTTGCCATTGGATCATTAATGATCTCAAACTTGTTAGATTCATTTTGGTGATAACGAGCTACCATGTACTCCTGGTGGGGTATATAAGGCATATCTGTGGGAGGGTAAAGTGTAAATGTTTTTTGACCTGATATAACACAATATAAATTTTCATAATGATCTTTATGTAGTGATGTTATTGCTCGGCAATCCCCCATCCAGAAGTTGACGGCATCAGGGTCTTTTCCAAAAGCTTCTGTTGCCCATTTTATATCAGTTTCAGCATCACTGATAATCTCAGGAAACTCACCAGTAAAGTTTCCGTTCTGTTCCTGCACGTAAAAAATTCCAGGTTCGCCCAATTTAGGAGATTCCATAATATCCAAAAAATCAGAAAAAAGCATTTTTCTATCTTCAGCTAAAATGAACTTATTCTCACACACAGCATCAGCTAAGCCATTGGGCGTGACGGCCACACTTATTTCTTTAGCCCCAAGCATTTCTCTGAGGTACGATGGCGTCCATTTTTGCAAGGCTGGCCAATGATTGATAGAGTTCTTGAAAATTACGGGTATATTAGGGCACACCCAGTTACGATAAAATTCTAGTGGTGTTGGTGGGCCACGATATTCACATATTTTCTCAGGTAAATACAGTTCTCTAGCCTCACAAGTCAAGCTGTTAAACGCACTAGAAAGACGCTCATCTCTAATTGAAGATATTGACTCCTTGACCTGCGCCATATTTTCAAGTTTGCTTCTGAAAATTCCACTGGAAATTCTCGCATCACGTTATTAAACGAATCTCATTCAAAAACCATACGCGAGAAGAAGGATGGGAAGGATATGACACGGAACGTCTAGAATTCTTAAGCTAGATCTTATCTTTGACCTTATCTAGTTATATGCATTCTTATATACATAATAATTGTATTTTCTAACAATTCCCCTTCTTTTTAGAGGAATAAACTTGACGATATCGGTGTCGGACAGCAGTCGGCCAAACTCGGATACCATATTTCTACATTCAAAGTATGTTATTTTGTCAGTAAAGTCCAAAAGGCCACCATCTTGAAAATGTTGTCAATGGCGAAAAATAATTCATTTGTAATGACGAAGTACAATTATCCATTGATTTAGAGTGTTTTTAAGCTCTTTACATCCAAAGAATAAAGAATGTGGAGTTGAGAAAGTTACAGAATGCCTAATGAAGCTCTTAATCCTTTGCTCAATGCCCGCGATCGGCTGTTTCGTGTGTTATTTTTCAAGATATCTCTTCTCTATGCAAGAACACTGTCGCCATCTGTAAGAACATTGATAGAGTTCGGCATATTAACAAAGGTAGTGCATACAATTGTATTTTCAACTGTTTCTTTTATTTATTAGTTTTCATTACTGTATGCTGGGTATAAACCAGACTATTTTGGTGTTCAAATATTGAATGTATGGGTAAACAACTAAACCATATAAACGTTAAATCTATTAAAACAGTTGGGTACATTTTACACAAGCGGTCAAATAAATACTATAACCTACGCTGTGGTTAATATTCGGCTGAATATACATCACAATAATGTGCTACGGCCAATGTGCTATGCCTAATAATTTGACATAGTATACGCATGCCAGCGTGGAAAGTTTGTATTGCACGGCCGAGATATCGGGCGTGCAATTTTGATGCTATCTATATATTTACTATTAAATTTTCGATATCTCGGCCGCGCAATTTCCTAACTTTCCAGTAAGGCAGGGGTTTTTTTCCGGATTTTCTCTTGGGTCCGTTTTTGCGGAGAAGATTGAGTTTAGCTGAATAGCTGGGGTGGCTGCACCCCCCCCCCCCTACCGGGGGGCCGACACTTGTACTCAATAAATGTAGTTGAGATGGAATGTGTTAAAGCAGGGGCACTAAGGGACACTATGAACTGGCTAAAGATGGCGAATTCATAGTTTTTCGTGTGTTGTGAGATGAATTCCAGCCATTTTTTCTTAATTGTCGGGTTTCCAACTGAAAACTAATTTCCACACGTCACAAATTTAACTCAAACAACTTCATTTTTACTGCACTGAAACTTTGGTGAGAAGATTGAGTTTCAAAACTCAATTAAAAAAACAACCTGTAAGGTATGCATGCGTACATACAACATTCACATTTTTACGGACAATAAATTTTTCCTGAACTTGTCCTGCATCCTAACCTAACCTGTGCTTATCCTAACTGTTCTGGCCATTTGTTTGCAGGAAGAAAATCTCTTACACATACACTTGAAATTTCAATCTCAGATTTGATCCGTCAAATAATAATAATAATTTAATTTGTATTGTGCAAGTTCCATTCAAATATGCTCACATGTGCATAGCAATAATATAAAAACAAAAAATCCAATCTGGTCAGGCATTTGACCATGTACAATATATCATTGAGGGGTTGCCCGTAGAAATTTGTTTTTGTTTTTTTTCCAGTGGCTAGATTATACCCATCCACCTTTGCAACTATTTTCTTGCAATGATATGAAGAAAAAATAATGACGTACGCATATAATTATTTTAGCGATGTGTTATAAAGAACTGGGCAAGCTGGGTTTTTTTACTGATATGATGATACAAAGTGAAATAATCTGCACATACTATGTAATTGTTACTTATAGTCATAAAGCCCTGTTATTATATAAAAGGACTGGGTAAATATATTTCTCTCTGATATGATGATATTATAAACACAGGAAAAAATTTGAATTGCTGTTAATGGATTTTAAAAAATTTGAATTGCCGTTAATGGATTTTTGAATGTAAAAACTGAACTCTTTATCATTATTGGTTATTATAGATTCCCCATATGGTAAATTAGTAAAAATATTTACCAGGAAATACCATAAATGGTAAATATTAATTAAACGTCATGATGGTTTTTTACCATAATCTATAATAACCAATAATGGTAACTTAAGAGTTCAGTTTTACATTGGTAGTATCATGGTAAATCTTTAAAAACCATTCAAAACCCATGTGTGTGTGTGCTGTTTCTATAAATTTTAGTTAAATAAATTTTATTAATTTATTGTACGATCATCCAGATTAAAATTTTTTATTGTTTCTGACTTTTCGGCTACCTATACAGCAAAGACGTATCAAAGATGTATTATAGTTACAAAAATGTATTACTGCAGTTACAGAAATGTCAGAAACAATAAAAACAGTGGCAGACACTTTATGAAAGATTGGGGGGGGCTTGTGCCGAAGGCACGGAAAAAATTTAAAATTTGAATCCCAGAAATGACATTTGCAGCATTCTGAGAACACATTTTGTAAAAAACTAAGTTTTCAAAACACTGTTATTATATTGTGATGTTTATCTGAAAGCATCATACTCACCTGAGTACATTACACCAACACAGAAAAAATCATCTTACTAGATTACATTGATATAGAAGGAACTAGATTCTGTTCCAAAATATCACATACTCGAACTGAGCTGACCGCGTAACTCAGTTGGAAGAGCATTGGGCTAGTATTCCAAAGGTCATAGGTTTGATTCCCACCGTGGTCAGGCATATTTTTCAAGCTTGCCCGGTGTGGATATACACTCAGAGTAACATCACAAGCATCATATTCACCTGAGTACATTACACCAACACAGAAAAAAAATAACAATACTATTGTTCCCAGTAAACTGCGAAACAACCGTTTTTTTAGGCGCTTTGTCAGTGACAGTTTTGTCATTTACGAAGGACATATTTGTGTACCTTGTGATCACAATTTGTTGCAAGCAGCGTGTCAAAAACTGCAAGTTTCAGTTTGACAGTTCTGACAGTTAAATGGTTTCTAATTTTATTGTCCAATCAGGTGCGTAGTTTTGATTTAAAATTCAAAAGTACGCATCTTATTGGACAATAAAATTAGAAACTCATTTAACTGTCAAACTGAAACTTGCAGTTTTTCACATGCCGCTTGCAACGAAATGTGATCACGAGGTACACAAATATGTCCTTCGTAATTGACAAAACTGTCACTGACAAAGCGCCTAAAAAAACGGTCGTTTCGCAGTTCACTGGGAACAATAGTACATGGTTTGAAAAAGGTGTTTAAAAAAGATAAATTTTGAAATTACACCGAAATACTTTTGCCTGCTTCCACTTTTAAATATGAAATTTCCTTAAAAATTCCTTCCCGGAGCTGGAGTTTTGACTGCCGGAGCAGGAGCTAAAATAACCGGAGTTTGCACAGCTCTAAGAATGCACACATCAATATTAACTTAGCCACAGCTGCTTACTTAAAATGATTCTGAAAGCCCAGAACCTAGATTTTATATTAAATTGTTACTGTAAATGCCTAAATGGTCTCAACAAATAGTGGTAATAATAAATATTCGAATTGCCACTATATCCACCCAGTTTTTGAATTTGAATTTGAATTTATTGAATTAGTTATCAGCTTTACAGTGACAACAGGAGAAAGAAACAGGGCAAAGCCCCAATTGACATCAAACCCCTGATGGCTAAAAAACATGATAAAGTCAGAATTTGCCACTTGTTACATGAGTCCCATTGTAATTCTTTCTGTTATTTACTTTGACAAATACACTGCGATAGCCCTTGAAGGTGCAATGACATTGGACATAGATGTAGAAAACAGGACCTCTGAGAGGTTGCATGAGGCCCTGGGTAAAACTTGCCCAGGGGGCCCTATGATGTCATAATTAAAAAATGGGAGAAGCAGTGTTTTACAATTTATTACATTTTATTGCATATTATCTGGCACTAATGCTGCTAGGATTTATATTCTCAGTTAAACAATCTTGTATCAAGAAATTGTATATGTGTCTTCATTGTTTTGGGGGCAAAGTGCACCCCACCCCCGAACATTACCTACATGAGCTCCTAACTTTATCTAGATAAATGCAGTATGAAGCTATTAAAATGGATGATTCCAGCTATAGACGAAATTTTGATCTAGACAAGAAGAACGAAATCCATTACCATAGCTGGAACGAGCATCTTGAAATGAGTAAAATTGCAAAGTTTGGTTGCGAATTATTGTAAAATGAGGAAAATATAACCTGTGAAGTTCGCAAATTTTGTATATATTTGCATTACGCGCAGGAAAAATAACCATTTTTGGTCAAAATTTAGTCTAGCTGGAATCACTCAATGAGGTGGTAGGGAGGGATAGCACAGGACTTAGTGTATATGCCATTCACGTTCGCGAGTTGCGACTGTGGTTCAATTCCTTTCAGTCACGTGAATAAAAAGGATATTCCGATTTCTTGCTGTACTAGACCGAGATCTAAAATATATATATACAACGAAACAATTCTGACCTTTCGATCAAAGGTGCCGTGTCATAGATTTACAGTCCTTCCTTTCTCACTAAACAATTTGCAGTTAATTTTGAACTTCTACAAATTTTCATTTCCAGGCAATTGTGTTGTTTTCAATACTTGTCTACATCCATGCTAACTTTACAAGCTTACCAATGAAATGTCTGGACAATGTACAGAAGACATGGCCTCGGGATGGGATTCTACGAATTCAAATATCTCAAAACTCCACAGTTTTTGTGACTAATGGAAACACTGGATATAACGATGTCCACGAGGGTGATATGGTGAAAAATTACACACAGTCAGATGATATGCCGCTGTATGAAAATATGTCGAGTAATTTTACAAATCAATCTAATCTCGATATATTCCATTCAATTCCTGAAGATAAGCCATCTTTACATTTTAAACACATGAGAGAAACACTTCTTCATTCATACGATTCAATACTTGATGGTAAGTATAGTAACGCAGTGATATTACTGATATAGATCTTTCTTTGTTAATTGCTTATAAAACACACAAGAGTAGTCCTATGATGAGTAAAAATTTCTGGGTACTAAAGAGTAAAGATATGTTGGATGAATTGCGGCTTAATAGAGTGGCAATATAATTATGTACAGTAGTCTGGTTAACATCCAACATTTTTCCATATAACTAAAACAGCCATAAATATATTTGTTTCTGCATGCAAGGTTCAAAACTACATGCAGTACCTGTAAAGCTGAAGTTACTACACGAGCAACAAAATTGCTGCAACTTGCAACAAAATATGATTTCAACGCATGTTAAGTAGAAAGGTCGTCACATGTTGCCTTGTGATTTGTAATTTGTGTGTAAACATTTTCAATTAACATGCGTTGAAATCAGATTTTGTTGCAAGTTGCAGCAATTTTGTTGCTCGTATAACTCCACCTTAAGGTCTAACATTTCTAGCGAGACTTCTAACATTTCGGTCAGTGCGGATGACTTTTCTACCAACTTCCTGGCGATAGATCTACGTCTTTTGCAGTTATTATAATTTGAACTTTACAGAAACCATCTTGTGAATACAACTAACAAACTGATTACTGAATGCCAAAAAATGTTATATATATATATACATATCTGGTAATCGTAAAGCAGGGTTTGCAATCTGAATGTACAGTATATACTGTAATGCTGGGGTGCGGTTGGGTATGCACAAAAAGGGCCAATTATATTGAATTTTTTAGAATCCTATGAAGATGAGTATGTGATGGAATATTCTTTAGAATTTGGATTTCTTAGACTTTCTAAAACAGCAAGATCAAAATTAAACATTCCTGTTATGGTGGTTAAGTTAGGTATGTTTATCACTGAACTTCGTAATTTTTTATCAAGGTAGCCGTAGGAAAACGAGTACCTGCTTTGCCAGAGGACGGATGCTCACGTCAAGCGTCTTAAAAGTAGGGGGCACCTTTAGTGAGGGCTAATATATCTAAATGTAGAAAATTAATGGAAAACTAGCATTCTAATGGTCCACGCACGCATGCGCATGGCCACTCGAGAACATTTCGTATCTCTTAATATAAATTCGAACGGTCTGTGTCAGCGTCATTGAACTATAAGTAAACTGGAACGATAACTCCTATGATAAAGGCCTATGTTCGAGTGAAGCCAAATTTCGGGCGCTCAAGTACAGCCTGTTTGCAGGTATATGTATACGAAAATAAATACTAAATTTTTCACGAAGTATTTTTACAAATTTAATCCTTAATTTTAGCTTATTAAAGTACGTTTCTGGATGTGGGACATCCATTAACAACTGTATCTAATATTTTTCTACATATATTGTATAAAATTGTCTCTGAACTCTTTCTGGAAAGTCTAAAAACTCAGAAAAACCATAAATTTTCGCGCGGTTTTTTGCTGAGTTTTGTTTTGTTCGTGTCATATTTCGGCAGTTAAACAATATTTTCTTATTTTATGTGCCTTAGATAAAAGTTGTGTTGTCTAAGTGCGCTCTAGGATAAATATAAATGCCTTGAAAAAAGTAAACATGATTTTTAAGGTGTATTTTTCGTATCCATTTTGTAAAAAAGGGGCTACCTGCAGAAAACGCTCATGGTGGCCAACTTATCGTTCCAGATTACTTACAGTTCAATGGTCAGCGTAGGTAGCGACAATATCACCAGAAAGTTTGCGGATTGCGAAGGATTCGACTACCTGAAGAATACAAGTAAAACGTCGACGTTTCGAGCGTATGCGCTTCCTCGGAAAGTTAGTAGAGACCTTACGATTTTAGGACGGCAACGGCTACCAATACAATAGATCATTGAAAATAATTGAGTAATTACAATATATGAATAATTTAGACATTGTCGACGGCCAAAACAAACTCCTTCAAATAAATGGTAGTAAAGATAGTTCGTGGTATATTATCAATCGTATGAATTTAACACAGTTTTAGAAGTTGAAGACATGGGTTTTATGGTTGGGAAGAGTTCTGCTAAACCCAGTTTGAAGTTGCACTTGTTGTGGCTTGGAATGCAGCCGTTGTATCAAGACGTGAAAATCTGTGATTTGGCGTTGTAAACAGAGCGAGGACAATGTCTAAATTATTCATATATTGTAATTACTCAATTCTTTGCAATGATCTATTGTATTGGTAGCCGTTGCGTTGCCGTCCTAAAATCGTAAGGTCTCTAGTCATGCACGAAGGGCTCTCTCAATCTGCAGCTTTCTGATATCTATAATATCATTCCCTGCAGCGTAGTTAAGTCCTGGGCAAACTAGGAAACATTGTTGTGAAACATTTGTGATTCTCGATGTTTCCTCAAATGTTTCCCTGTTTGCCCACCCGTGGAAACATTGTTGCGGAAACAAAATTTGCTTCCCGAGAAGCAAAAATGTTTCCTAGTGAATTCAGAAACATTTGATGTTTACCTATGTTTTTCACAAATGTTTCCTAGTGTTTGCCCACTCTGGGAAACATAGCGTAACATTGGCAGGAAACAATGTTTCCGCAACAATGCTTCCCAGTTTGCCCAGGGTTTTAGATTCTGCTATACAAATACGACATGCAACAAGTGTTCTTTTGGATTTAAACTGTAAGAATGGTATTGGCTACACCACTAGTAGTACCTATAATTACATAAATTATGTGAAAAAACATTGTCTCGCTAATTCCTCATTATTCCTGATAATTAACAATTATTGATTGAGGTTGAACACGATATGAAGATGATCAAGCCAGAAGTTTTCTCTTATCAACCGAAGCCGAAGGCTGAGGTTGATAAGACAAACTGAGGGCATGATAATTTTTCATATCTGGCGAAAACCGAATTCAATAATTGTTTTATTACTTATTTAAAAGATGAAAAAAACATCCGCACCTGTGGGTTCAATTCGTAGAAATAATTAGTGTTTAATGACCATTTCTTTTTCCCAAATCTTTCCTTTTTTCTTTCATAAATACCTTATTAAGATGTTTCAAAACCTTTAGTGTAATCGTGGCTGTTTACGTTAATATGTTCTTTAATAAGTTACGTTGTTTCCTTACAACCTGCAATTCACGGCGAAGGTGGCGCCACATCAGTTTTGGTCGTGTTTCCACATTTCGTATTTGTACTTCCACAGCGTGACGTCATAACATTGAATATGATTTTTTCATGTTCAACGATATGACGTCACTCTGTTGAATATTATGTAAAAACTCCATATTTGGTCAGCTATTGCGTAGATATGACCATTTCACAGTTGGCTGTTAGCCAATCAGAAACCATGAATCTTTTAAATAAATAATAATTACGTTTATCAAAGGAAAAGAAGATGTACTTTCAATAAAAAGACGATGCCTTCACTCCAGAAAAAGGCAACTGTGTGGTTATTGTTCATACTGTGTATAATAGTTGTTGCAATGCACTGTATGACGTTAAATGCATCTAACTATTTCTAGACCCGGACAAAGAAGAATGTTTTGGTGATGCATTCAGTCGGTTGTTGTTAAAAGAATTTCTTGGTTATGATGATGTACTCATGTCAAGTATCAAAAGACTTGCTGAGTTTGAAGACAATAGAGGTTGGTCCACAATAAACAACACAAAATGCTAATCAATAATGTATCACGCATTGCATAACTGATGTGGAATGCTTTTGCACAGAACTGCATTTTACTTACATTTTAAGCAGTAGGTTGGTTAATTAATTGCAAATCTGTTCCATGCATTTAAAATGTGGGAAAACGACAATCCTTTTGCCTTTAATCTTTGTGAAAAACACAATAACACTTTCTGTACTTTGAGTTTGTACAGTATAGTATATTATATATTTTACTTCTTTAGGTTATTTAAGAAATTTAGTAACTGGTGAACACTATCGTTTCGTCAGTTCATGGATGGCAAGAAGTTCCTATATTGTTGCTTTTATTCTCATGTTTACCTTTGTAAGTCCTAGAAATTGTTATTATTCTTTTGTCATTACCAGCGTTACAGTCGCCGAGTGTGTTTATGTGAAATCTGATTGTTTTATAGACAATTTCAATTTCCATGTTGCTTCGATACTGCCATCATCAAATCTTTGTTTTTATCGGTAAGTATAGATTTAGATCATTAACTGTCGATTCAATTATCATATGATAGTCCATAGCTTATGTGTAAATTTATGTTCATAACCCGATATTTTGTACGTGGCGACGCTTGTTCGACCATAGACATAGAAAGCCCAGCAAATATACACTATTATCGTTATCAAAATAAATAGTTGTAAAATATATAATTAAAATTTAATAATTAAACGTTTACAATGTCTTTCAAATGTTTCTGCATACTTTGCTATTCGGCGATTTACTTGACGTGTATTCACTACATATGCAACCTCGTACCCAGGGTGTTTGCTCGTGGGGACCCTGGGTATGAGCTTGCTAAATATGCAGATTACCCAGTCGCTATATTTATATGTCATCGTATGTCATTATAATATTGTTTTAACCGAAGGGTGCAGCAAATTTTTGCTAAAATTACACCTGCACACGTTAATACCGTAATTCCCTAAAAACAAAAAGAAGTATCTCAAATTTCTGCTAAAGAAGTAGATACAAATGACCTTGGATATATTTTCAAACTTTGTAAATACTTTTGTAAATTATTGTAAATACCTTTTGCAGTTGAAAAGGTTTTAAAATACTTAAATTTCTTCAATAAAAAGTGTTTCGACAAACGTCATTATCGGAAAAATCATCGGCTAAATTTCTATTGGCTGCCGAAATGTCGGAAAATTCCGAATATAATGTGATGCAGTCAATGAGCTTTCTTCGGAAGTCTCCGACTTTTCGGCAGCCAAACCTTTTTTAACTCTACGTTAGATAACATATCCACTGCAGTCATTTGTATATCTACTTGTTTTACAGAAATTTGCGATATTTTTCTTGTTTGGAACTTTCTAGCGAGGGTATTAACGTGTGTAGGTGTTATTTTACAGCAAAAGGTTGCCACCCTTCGCCTTCGATTAAAATACAAGTATGATAATGACATACGATGACATAAATAGCGACTAGAACATCTGAATACGTGTAGTGAATACACCAGTGATCGCTGAATAGCAAAGTCTGAAACATTTGACATACATTTTAAAGTTTAATTATTAAAGGTAAATTTTACAAGTATTTATTTTGATGATAACAGTGTATATTTGCTGGGCTCTCTATGGTTTGTCTACCTGTTCGATTGACAGAAATGAAACCAGCTCACTGGAAAGTTCGTAAGTTGAACAATGTCTAAATGATATTCACTGACATTGCAATATCTTTTTTGTTTTAGTTAATCTTCTACAAATGATGGATTTGAACGGAATTATTGCTTTTCCCGTTGCACCATTGTTTACAGTCATCCTTTCCTTAGTAGGTAAGATGGTAAAAAGTTGGAAATATTCCATAACTAACGCACTTACGGGACAAATGTGAACGGATATAATGATCAATATATCTATTGTATAGTCCAGTCGAACGAATTGATATGTCGAATCGAATGAGTTTTCCTCTCTGTCTTAAACAAGGCAACATATAGTCGAGTTATCTATTCAAATCCAACTAATCCAAATGGTATGTCGAATGCCATGATTGGAAGGAATCAAAATGTGATGTTGAATCGAATGAGTAATCATGCCTGTATGCCTAAATCGATGCACCATATAGCAATATATCGTAAAATATAAGTCAAACCTGTCAATCACATTACAGTACTCCTTTGATTCGAATGAATCGAAATATCATCGAAATGTAATGTCGAATCGAACTGGAGAACACCGCAAGTGATGACAATCCCAATGACGTTGGAGCGCAGACCAAACTCCGAAGTACAGATGCGCCCACACTCTGGCCAGGCCATGCCCACAGATGGGTTACGCTATTACCAATATACTCTTGGTACAATATACCGTCTTAGACTCTTAGTATTGTTTTAACTTTTTATCACACACTTGTCAGTGTGCGAATCTAAAAAATCTAACCATTCCAAACACTATAATCACGAGTCAAAACATACCGATGGTATTGGACACATCTTTATTTCAACTCAGAAATTGTTTATTTCGTTTACTATAGGAATGGAGGCCATTATGTCGGAATTCTTCAATGATGCAACAACAAGTTTTTATGTTATTCTTATTGTCTGGGTGGCTGATCAGTTTGAGGCAATATGTTGTCACACGAGAATAAGTAAACGATTTTGGCTAAGGTATATTTATACTATTTTTTTAAAAAGGTGATTGGCCAGCATCAGACTTGTTACAATATTGTACCAACAAGCCAAGTTCAAGTGTGTTCGCACTGCTTGTCCTAACTAACTACAAGGTTGCTGACTCAACAGACTCCTGCAAACTAACTACAAATTATTCTGTGCTACAAGATTGCTAACTACAAGGACTCAACTAAAAGTTGTTCCAACAAAGTGTAATCGTCTCTCAACTCAACAATTTGTAATCAAGGGGCCGGTTGTTCAAAGCTGGGTTAGCTAAACTCTAGGTTAACTTATATTCAAAGCAAACTTCCCAAGAACTCGTTTATAAATTTGGAAATATTTCTTCAGAGATCTTGTCTGAATCAGTAGGAATTTTCTTCTCTGAAGTTCTGAAATAAACAGACGTGCAGAAATACATAAGCTAAAACAGCAGATTAAATTTTGACCGAGGGTAACCCAGCTTTGAACAACCAGCCCAATACGTTGTTAGTTAGAACAAACATCATTGTTCTAGGCTCTAGCAGTAATATATCTAACATCAAGTTATATACCTTCAATTGTTTTCAAGATTCTTCTACCTCTATCATTTTGCCTTCTATGCCTATCACTATCGGTTTAATGGTCAGTACAGTGGTCTGGCGTTAGTTACGTCTTGGTTATTTATTCAAGTAAGTATAAAACTGAGGGTTTCTATTTCACCTTAAATACTGGACATCTACTGAAAAAGCCGAGTTTTCATATTTTTAGATCGTAGCAATAATAATAATTAGTATAATTACATAGGTGATTATTGAAAATTCTCCACGCTGATTGGTTGCCGTTGAGGTGATTATTACGCGATAATCACCTAAGCGATTTTCAAAATGGCGGCCGAAGCCTTTTTGTCAATTAAGTGGCAGTCCCGCTAAGAGCGGTCCGATGACTTTGACTTCGGAAAATAGATTTCCTTTATTTTTTGTGTGTTGAAAGGCATTGGTATACAAGTGTCCAACATAAATTTATTTTTTGAAAATTCTTTTTTATGGCTTCGCTAGACGCCGAAACCCATTTCACCCGTGCAGAGCTATTTTCAAGCAAAATCGAAGGTTGAATTTCGGTAAATTGTAGAGCCGCGCTGAGTCAAAACGCCTGACTATTTCCAAATTTCAACTAGATTAGCGAGTTAAGGTACAATTCAGGTTCTCTGTTCCAAAAAATAAGAGCATTTGAACAAATCGTGAATAAACGACAGCAACTTGACGGCACACCGGTTTTTGCTTCTTGTTCCGTCTACAAAATTACACTAAAATCGAAGCCTGAGATCTCCAAATGGGGACCTAAAATTACGCTGAAATGTGCTTGGTTGTAATGATTTATACTTATTT